CTTGATTGCACAAGACCTGAAGTTCAGCAAGCTCGAGCCGATGCAGAGGTCCCCCAAGTTTTCCTCGACGAGCTACGTCAGCATGCAGACGAGCCTGGGTATATCGAAGGCATGTTTGGATATGCTTGTGCTGATGTTCCGACAATGAGTTTGGGCACAACCAGCGTTATCCTTGACGGCCAAGGGGTTCCAGTTCCCGATGAGCAATGTCAGGAACCTGAGCAGTTGGCAGCCTGCTTTCTCAGGGAACAGGACGCGAGGATGGAGGTCGCCACCGACAGCTCGTGCACCAAGCCGCCCATCAAGGAATTCCAGCGAGCAGGGTGGAGCCTCGTCCTGCTCGATCCCCGCTCAGACAGGCCGCTGGCGACCATGCACGGAGCTGTACCTGCCTCCTTGCCCCAAGAATCGGCTGTCGGAGAGCATCTGGCGGCGGCCTTCGTGTCGCAGGTTGCGGACCGACCATGCACCGTCCACGCCGACTTCAAGGGCGTTATCCACCTGGGAAACAAGCAGAAGGAGCTGCAGCTGAAGGCCAGGACCCCCTACGCGTGCTTCGCCCACTTCGCGCAATCGCTCGACGGCTTCACGTACGTGCAGCAGTATGCCCACGTCAAGGCGCACCGCTCTGGGGACGACTACGCAGCGCTCTCCGACAGCCAGAGGAGGGTCACGGACGCGAACATCGTGGCGGACCTCAGGGCCAAGGAGGCAGCGGCGATCCACCCCGCCCCCGAGCAGGAGATAGTGGAGGAGATGCAGAAGGGCGTCGACAGAATCAGCCAGATTGCGAAGCTGATTGCCCACGTCATGCCCATCTTCGACAAAGACGACCAGCTCAGGTGGACCAGGAGAGCACCGACCCTGCGGCGGGCAGCGAGCACGAGGAAAGCAACATGGCACCAATGGCAAGATGGCGAGCTGGGCGTGCAATGCATCCCCTGCCTACAGATGCACATGCCAGGGCAGCCACTTCCCCTCACGGGGTGCCCTGGGGCGCCCACTTTCCTGCTGGACCATCGGCGCAACCCCAACGGCCACAAGCTGGTAGCGGTCAACCAGAAGGGCACCTTGGACACCTTGGAGAGCGACGCGAAGGACACCTACAGGCCAGTGTTCATATGTGTGAAGTGCGGGGCTTGGGCGCTGCAGCGGCGCAAGGCCAAGTTACGGCAGCCTTGCGTAGCTGCCACCACCAAGGGCCTCGAGGCCCTCCACAACCTGAGGCGCGGTGTCGGTCCTTGCAAGAAGCTGAAGAGGTTTATCGACCGCACCACCCCGCTTAGGCGGCTGGAGGCGACGAGCGAGGTACACACCACCTTCACGAAGGTCGACATCCTCAGCGGCACCGACGTGGCGGCGCCTGTGGCAGGGCTCGAGAGCAGGATGGCCGCACTCCACCAACGAGCGCGCGAAAGGGCACAGTTTTGGTGCGATGAACAGGAGATGCGAAACACCATGTTCGGGCACGCGGAGGCCAGAGGAGACTTCCAGCAAGAGGCAGGTCGCGGAGCTCGACGGGGTAGGCGCGCTGGGGCGCGCCTCAGGGGTGCTCAAGGAGCTGCTGCTGCTGGTGGACCCAGCGCCACCGCCAGCTCGGGGCAGCGGCGTGAGGCCAAGCAGGGAGTCGCCTCCTCGGCCGCGGCGGACTTCGTGGAGCACATCGAGGAGTATGCGGCTGCTGGGGCTGCTGGCGCGGGGGCGCTGCGCGGCTCAGCGGCGACCCTCGACGGCTCGGACGCGCTGGACGAACAGGTCGTGGACCCGCTGCGCGACGACGAGCACGGCACTCAGGCGGCAGTCGCTTGGGAGGTGCGCGGCATGGGCACGGACTGCTTCGACGGCTCGGCCGCGCTGGACGCCCAGGTCGAGGGCGCGATGGACGACGACGAGCACGACGCCGAGGCGGCAGCTGCTGCAGAGGTGCTCGGCCTGGCGATGGACCTCGACAGCTCGAGCGCGCTGGACGACGGCCTCCTGGGCGCGCGGGGTTTCGGCGCTGAGGATGCCGTTGCTGGGGAGGCAGGCAGCTCGCTGGCAGTCATCGATGGCTCGGGCGCGCTGGACGACGACATCAAGGGCGCGCTGGGCGGCGCTGAGCACGACGCGGAGGCCGCAGCTGCGGGGGCGGCAAGCGGCCTGTCGGCGGGCGTCGACGGCTCGCACGCGCTGGACGTCGCCCCCGTGAGCGCGCTGGGCGACACCGCGCACGGCGCCGGGGCGGCTGCTGCGGGGGCCGCGAGCGGATCGGCTGCGGCAGGCGGCGCCTCGGACGCGCTGGGCGGCAACGCCGCGGCGGCGCTGGGCTCGCTGGGTTTCGCCGAGCGCGTCGCCCGTCTCCTGGCGGCGGCTGGCGCGCGCGAGCAGCAGCCCCCAGGCGCGGCCGCACCCAGCCTGGGCGAGTGCGACGGCGGCAGCGCCTCCACTGCAGCCGAGGGCAGCGGGCGCGGCGCTGAGGCGGCCGCAGCGGGGGCAGTGCGAAGGCCGTCGGCCACGTACCCCCCTCTGCGCCACGGGCACGCCTGGGAAAGAGTCCCCGCCCTCGGCGGTTGGCCAGGGCCCTGGGATCCTCGGGCCGCACCGAGCGTTCGAGGGCAAGGACGTGGTCACGGCGGCGTGATCGACGACCACGTGGCCGAGCTGGACGGTGACCGCCGTGGCCCGCTCGGGGGCCCCGAGCATGGCGACGAAGGTGCTGCTGCTGGGGCATTGCCGCGGGCGGCCAGGGCCAGCGCTGACTCCGAGGAGTCGAGGGCGAGCGCGGAGGCCAGGGCAGCCGCCTTCAAGCAGCTCGTCGCGCTGGCGCGGACGTCGTGAGGCCCGTCGGCAAGTTCGTGCTCCTCATCTGAGGAGGCAGGCCAGGCGGCCGAACCCTGATTCAGGGATCGTCATCATCATCATCCTCCTCCTCGTCCTCCCTCCTCCTCCTCCTCCTCCTCCTCCTCCTCCTCCTCCTCCTCCTCCTCCTCCTCCTCCTCCTCCTCCTCCTCCTCCTCCTCCTCCTCCTCCTCTTCCTCCTTGCCCCATGCATGTCTTCCGGCCCTCTGCTTCTCTCCTCCCTCCGCGCGCCGTTGCAGCAGTTTCGGGGCAGGGGCGCCAGTGGCAGTCCGTGCGGCGAGGCCTCCGCTGCGCCTCGCTCTCGTCATTGAGTGGGAGGGGGGCGGGCTAACGGGGTCGTCTGCTGGTGATGTCGGACCTCGAGCCCTGCGCTGGCGAGGCGAGCGCGCGGTCCAGGGCCAGCTCGTGTGGCGTGTGGAAGCCGGATCCACCCTTAAGGGGTCGACGGCAAGGCTCACGGGAGGGCAGCCGCGAGGGGAAGGGCGGGGGGAACGAGAGGGCAGGAACGAGAGGGCGGGAGGGAAGGGGAGGAAGAGGGGAACGAGGAAGGGGAGGAACGAGGGGGGAAGGCAAGGAAGGGGAGGAAGGGGAGGAAGGGGGGAAGGGGAGGAAGGGGAGGAAGGGAAGCCGCGAGGGGAAGGGCGGGGGGGGCGAGGGCAAGAAGGCGCAGTGCGGCAGTGACGAGCCGAGGCAGCCAGTGAGGCGCAGCGGGAAGGCGGCAGCAGCAGGTGAGGAAACCAGCCAGGAAACGAAAGACACCCCGCGCAGGTGCTCGTGAGATCGGACTGGTAGCTTTCGGGCCATAACTCGGGCCTCACGCGGCCGTTCGGCACAATCTGGGCACCCCCGCAACGCTCTCGGCGAGGCGCAGCCGTTGAAAGGCACCCCGACGCTGAAAAGCCGTCCAGCCCCGACGAAAACGTTCGAAAACTTCGAACTTCGGAACGTCGAAATTTCCCACCGCGCAGGTGCTCGCGATGTCGGACCTCGAGCCCCCTATGGGGCCACGACGCGTGTGGTGAGGGGTGCACCGAATCGGGTGCAGGGATTGGGGGGAAGGCGAGGTGAAGCGCGGCGCTGTCTCTTCAAAGAAAAGGCCCAACACCACGGCATGGTTGGGGAAGGACCGACCCGCGCATGTGCGCGACGCAGACAAACGGGGTCGTCTGCACCGACATTGCCGCGTGAACTGCCCGCGTAAAGCCGCGCGTAAGCCCCCTCGTCTCCAACGTAGCGTGCCGCGCTGGCGTCCCGCCTAAGCCACCGCGTGAGGTCGCTGTGTGATCTCTCGGCGGCGAGCGAAGCGGGAAGTGAGAAGGAGAAGGCCTTCTCAGAAGGCGGCGAGGCTTCTCAGAAGCCCTCCGGCCCTCTGAAAAGATTCTTGTGTCTCCAGGGAAGGTTCCGGCAGCTTCTCGGAATGCTGGGGACCTCCGAGCCTTCGAGAAGGCCCGCCCCTGCTCACTTCACTTCCCCCCCCCGCTCGCCGCCGAAGCTCGTGTGAGACCCCTTTGTTTTCGTCGTCCAGGTGCTCGTGATGTCGGACTGGTGGTTTTCGGGCCACAACTCGCTTGGCCGTTCGGCACGATCTGGGCACCCCTGCAACGCTCGGCGAGGCGCAGCCGTTGAAAGGCACGCTGAAAAGCCGTCCAGCCCCAACGAAAACGTCCGAAAACATCGAGCTTCGGAACGTCGAAATTTCCCACCGCGCAGGTGCTCGCGATGTCAGACCTCGAGCCCCGCTTCTGGTGCCTCTGGCGGAGCTCCCTACTGATGGGGCCACGAAGCGTGTGGTGAGTGGTGCACCGAAACGGGTGGCGTGCGAGGGGGGAGTGAGACGGAGAAGGCCTTCTCAGAAGGCGGCGAGGCTTCTCAGAAGCCCTCCAGCCCTCTGAAAAGATTCCTGTGTCTCCGAGGAAGGTTCCGACAGCTTCTCGGAATGCTGGGGACCTCCGAGCCTTCGAGAAGGCCCGCCCTTGCTCACTTCACTTCCCCCCCCGCTCGCCACCGAAGCTCGTGTGAGACCCCTTCGTTTTCGTCGTCCAGGTGCTCGTGATGTCGGACAGGTGGTTTTCGGGCCACAACTCGGGTGGCCGTTCGGCACGATCTGGGCACCACGTCCGAAAGCCTCGAACCTCGGAACTTCGAAGTCCACCACCGCGCAGGTGCTCGTCATGTCGGACCTCGAGCTCTGCTTCTGGCCGCCCCCGCCCGCCTCGGCCGCCGACGCCCGCGCAGCGCTCCGCCGCCTGCGGCCCTGCAGCCGGCGGCGGGCCCTCGTGGCGGCCAGGAGACCCCCGCGGCCCTGCAGCCAGCTTCGCTGCAGTGTTCCTCCTCATCCTCCTCCTCCTCCTCCTCCTCCTCCTCCCCCTCCTCCTCCTAATAATCCTCATCATACTACCCAACCCCGAAACCCCTCCTTCCTCACTACTCTCAGCCTACTAATCTCCTTAATACTACTCTCACCTCCTAGTCCTCCTACTCCATCTCCCTAAGCTTCACTCACCTCCTCCTCTCCTCATCCTATTCCTTCTCCTAGCCTCCTACCTCCCTATCTACTCTCCTCAATCTCTACTCCTCCTTATTAACCACCTCCTCTCATCACCTAATCCTCGTCCTTAATCCTACATAACTAGTCCTACTCCTCCTACATACATAACTCTACCATACCCTACCTCCATCCAGTCGATCAGAACAGGAAGGGAGATAATCTTCATCCTCCTCCTCTCATCTAATCATAATACTACAACTAATACTATCATTCCTTCTCATACCTAACATCCCTCCCCTCTAAACCCCTCCTCCTCCTCACAATCATGCCTACCTCTATCCTCTCCTCACTCCTCCTCCTACTCCCACCTCATCCGCCGTCGTCACTAATCACCCCCGACCTCCCTCACTGCCTTGATGCTCCTCCTCTCCTGCCTCTCCCTCCTCCTCCCTACCTCCTCCTCCCTCCCCTCTTCCTCCTCTCCTCCTCCTCCCTACTCCTGCCTCCTCCTCCTGTGTCCTCCCCTTTCCTCCTCCTCCTCCTCCCCTCCTCTCCTCCTCCTCCCCTCCCTATTCCTTCTCCTCTCCTCACTCCTCCCATCTCCTCCTCCTCTCCTCCTCCTCATCATCCCTCTCCTCCTCCTCCTCCTCCCCTCTCCTCTACTCCTCGTCCTCCTCCCTCCCTCCCCTTCTTCTCCTCCTCCTCTCCCTCCCTCCCTCCCTCCCTCCGTCGGATCCGACAGGACGGGATATCATTTCTCCTCTCTCCTTCCTCCTCCTCATCATCCTCTCTTCTTCCTCCTCCTCCTCCTCCTCCTACTTCTACTCCTCCTCCTGCCCTCCCCCCCCCTCCTCCTCTTCTCCCCTGTCCTCCTCCTCCTACTCACTACTACTACTACTACTACTACTACTACTACTACTACTACTACTACTACTACTACTACTATACTATACTACTACTACTACTACTACTACTACTACTACTACTACTACTACTACTACTACTACTACTACTACTACTACGACTACTACTACTACTACTACTACTACTACTACTACTACTACTACTACTACTACTACTACTACTACTACTACTACTACTACTACTACTACTACTACTACTACTACTACTACTACTACTACTACTACTGCTACTACTACTACTACTACTACTACTACTACTACTACTACTACTACTACTGCTACTACTGCTACTACTACTACTACTTGGCGTGCTTGGCCCAGCTGGGGGCTACCAAGCGAGGCATCTCTTCTTCTGCTTGCTCCGACTGTGTACATGGAACAACCAAACAAGAGGTCGGAAGCACTGGCAAGGGCGGCTCACAACAGAGCGGAAGTGGAGGAGGACGAGGAGGATCTACAGAGGCAGATGAAGATAAGGAGGGTGGAGAAAGGAAGGAGGCTGCTGGAGAAGATGGGATGGAGAAGTGGTGAGGGCTTAGGAACAAGGCAGAGGGAGGAAGGGCAGGCACCACAGGAGATTATAGAGGACGAGCACTGGGTATTTGAACGTGCGAAGGGAGCTGGATTCGGGAGTCAGCGATTCACGACCGGTCATGCGGCACCTTTCTTTCAGACACAGTTGGACAAATGGTTTGTGCCTGTGAGACAGATAAGTGTACGCCGCTAGACACGCTACGGGTGCAGAGCTTCTGCTCCAATAAGAACAATGGCAAAGAAGGGATTGCTGGACGGAGACTCATGCACAGCTACTGCTCCTGGGGTCTTGCATGGCATGCTGGGATACATGAAAGGGCGCTAGAGGTTGAAAGGCCTGACTGGGCCCACGGAGGCCTAAAGCATAGGTCGCGGGAGAGCGCGCCGGTCACCTTACAGTCTGCACAATGGAGTTGCAGGCAAGCTCAACTATTATATGTGACGATCAATGTTGACTGTACGAATGCCTTCGCCAGCACACGACGAGAGGTACTTGAGGCCACGGTTGCGCGATGACATGTTTGCATTGGGGGCAGTTCAGCATCAAGCAATGAGCATTGCAGGGAGCAACGGAAGGGCAGATTTGATCAGTACGACGGGGGCGCAGGCGGGCTTCTGTTTAGCACCGCGGGACTTCAACGACTGCTACAATCCTGTTGTTGCTGCCTGGCTTGCTGAGGACCCAAACGAAGCAAACACACTGCTCAAGGCTCTCTGCCCTGTGTCGAGAAGGTACCAGAGTCTGTCGATTTGCACGTTCATGGACGATGTGATGAGACTATATACTTGTGAGGGTGCAGCGGAACTCAATCTTACGATTAAACAATTGGAGGCAAAACTGATTCCGGGGACTGCGTTTCAACCCATCAAAAAAAGGAGAACACGTTGAGCATGATGGGAAAAGGGTGGCAAAACATTACGAGAAAGGTCAGAAGCAAAAACAGCAGTGTGGTGGAGGATACGGGTCGAGAGCTACGCGTGCTACGACCGTACTTGCACACAACGGGCAATCTAAAAGGAGAGATCAGGAGGAGGATAGCAGCTGCTAGAAAAGCTTGAGGATCGCAGGAGTGTTCTGGAAATCCGAGACCCCTCGTGAAGTTCGGAGAATGATTTTCGTTGCCTTCGTGCAGGGTGCGGCGCTGAGCCGGTTAGTGAGCATGGTACTTGAACCTCGTCTGACCGATGCGCTCGACACGGCTCTGTGCAAAATGTTGCGCAGCTTGGAGCCCCGACGTTTTACCCAGGGCCGGCATCCCATCCCGAGCCGATTTGCGACGGCCCCGGGCCCCCAAGAGGCCACACGGCCCAAAACGGCCCGAACCGCTGTTTGCTTCACGGCCCGAGTCGTTCTTCAACGCGTCCGGCGAGGGCCCCCCTGGGGCCGAAAACGGCCAAGCACCGCCCGTCGCTACGCGTTCGCTCCCCCCTCCCAGGACGGCACTGCAGTCCGCGGCCGACGCCGCCGCGAGCGCCGAGGACGGGCAGTGGCGAAGCGCGCTGACCTGCCGATGTGTCCACCAAATAATGTTCTCAGAACCGTGTGTGGTGTGCGCGAAAGGTTCTCAGAACATGTTTGGTTGAGACATCCTTGTTTGAAAGAGCGTGTTCTACCGCTGCTGGCGGAAAACCCGGGGGGGGTCACTGGGGGTTCCCAACCCATCCCCCCCACCCCCCCTCGAAAACTGGAGGGGGGTCATTACTGGTTCGAGCCCATCCCCCTCCCCCAGTCCATCACATGAAAAGGGGGGGATCACTACCGGTTCGAACCCCCCCCCCCTCGAAAACCAGGGGGGTCACTACCGGTTCGAACCCCTCCCCCCCCCCCTCGCCGCCGGCAAACGATTCCCGCTCCTCGGGACAGTTGGACAATGGTGGGGATGCTGGGACAGTGGTGGGAACGGCGGTGGTGTGGACAGTGGTGTGGCGACAGTGTGGCAGTGGTGCGGACAGTGGTGGGGACGGTAGTGGTGGGGACAGTGGTAAAGGGACAGCGGGACAGTGGTGGGGACAGTGGGACAGTGGTGGGGACGGTAGTGGTGGGGACAGTGGTGAAGGCGGTGGTGAGGACAGTGGTGGGAGTGGGGAAAGTGGTTGGGACAGTGGGGACAGTGGGACAATGATGGGGACAGTGGGGACGGTTGGACAGCACAGTGGGACAGCGGCGGCGACAGTGGGACAGTGGTGGGTACAGCGGGGACAGTGGGACAGCGGTGGGGACCGTGGGGGAAGTGGGGAGAGTGGGACCGTGGTGGGACAATGGTGGGGAGAGTGAGGACAGTGAGACACTGGTGGGGGCACTGGTGTGGACAGCGGGGACAATGGTGGGAACAGTGGGGACAGTGGGACAGTGGTGGGGACGGTGGTGGTGGGGACAGTGGTGTGGGGACATTGGGAATGTGGTGGAAACAGTGGGACAGTGGAGGGTACAGTGGTGGTGGGGACAGAGGGGAGGGCGGTGGCGAGGACGGCGGTGGGACAATGGGACAGAGGTACAGTGGGGACAGTGGTGGGGACAGTGTGGACAGTGGTGGGAACAGTGGGACAGCTAAGTGGGACAGCGGCGGGGACAGTGAGACAGTGGGGACAGTGGGACAGTGGTTGGGGCCGTGGAGAAAGTGGGGAGAGTGGAACCGTGGTGGGAACAGTGGCGGGGACAGTGGGGACATTGCGACAGTGGTGGGGGCACTGGTGGGGACAGTGGGGACGGTGGTGGGAACAGTGGGGACAGTGGTGGTGAGGACAGTGGTGCTGGGGACAGCAGGGGGGGATGTGGTGCGGACGGTGGTAGGGACCAGGGAGTCGTTTGCTGGCGGTGAGCGTGTGGGGGGGGGAGGGGTTCGAACCGGTAGTGACCCCCCCAGATTTTCTGGAGGGGGGGGGAGGGGAGGGGGGTTCGAACCGGTAGTGACACCCCCCCCGGTTTTCTCGAGGGGGGGGGGAGGGGTTCGAACCGGTAGTGACACCCCTCTGGTTTTCTGGGGGGGGGGGACCCCACCCGGTTTTCCGGAGCGAGGGGGGGAGGGTTCGAACCGGTAGTGACCCCCCCCCGGTTTGCTGGCGGTGAGCGTGGTTCGAACCGGTAGTGTGATCCCCCTCTGGTCTTCTTGGGGGGGGGAGGGGTTCGAACCGGCAGTGAACCCCCCGGCTTTCCGGAGGGAGGGGGGTTCGGGCCGGTAGTGACCCCCCCCCCCCAGTTTTTCGGAGGGGGGATGGAGGGCGGGGTTAGGGGAGGGGAGGTGTTTTGCAGGAGGGAAGGGGGGGGGTCCAGCAGGGAGGGGGATTTTCGGAGGGGGGGGAACCCCGGGTTCCGGAGGAAGAGGGGGGGAATTTTCCACAGTAAAGCGGCGGTGGGTCACGCTCTCTCCCTTGTTTTAGCACACTGGCTTCGCGTTATACACACATTCCCCAGTCTGTGTTTGCACTGAAAGGGTCCTAGTGGACATTGAAAGGTTTGGCGAAAGGCCCAGGCCGATTTCGGTAGCCGGTTGGGTTCCGGGTTCCCAGCCCCGGGTTCCCAGGTTCCCGTTTGCTGGTTCTGGGCCGATTTCGGGATCCCACGATCGAGTTCACCACGATCGATCTATTGTTTCCTCGGGCCCTAGGCGAAACTGCGGCCAGACATGGTACCAGCCAAATGTTTCAAAACATCCACTGATTGAGATGTTTCTCTGGTGGACTTGCTTTCTGAGAACAGTCTGTATGATTCGAGCACCAGTTACTCCGACGCGCGGCCTCACGTCTGGGGGAGGGCGCACGGCCACCAGGAGCAAACGCCACCTCGGACGCGGTGGGTTCGCGATGGGTTCGCCGCGGGTTTGCCGTGGTGTCGGCTTTGTCCGCTTGGGGGCGCGTCGAGAACTCTGGACGCCCGAAATGGGTACGGAAAGAATGGGCACGATGCCCAACAGCAGTTCCTGTTCATTTTGAACAGGACTCGCTGTCCGCGCCGCCGCGGCCTGTGTCCATTCGAGACAGAAGGCCGCCCGCCCAACAGCGGCCGCTGTTGGTTTGGGACCACATTTGTTGTTGGGCATTGTACCCATTCTTTCAGTACCCATTTCGGGCGTCCAAAACAAACGGCGCGGCGACCATGTCGTGGCAGGCCCATACTCTGACCCCCGACGTCATGATTTGTTCACAACGTCGACCTCCAGGGGTCTGGACCCCTTCTCTGGGACCTGTTTCTTCATCCTGAGTCGTTTTTGTTGATGCTCCCAGGGCCCGGGAAGGGCCCCCAGAGGCCAAAGATCGCGAAAAACTTCGCGTCGTGATGTTTGCACCACGCGAGGGGCTCTGGGCAGGAGTGCCAGGCGGTCGGCCCCCGCCCCACCAGGAGGCGTGCTGCCTGCGCGCCGCGCTGGCCGTGGCGCAGCGCGAGACCGACGCCTTCTGCAGCGCGCCGCCCACCCAGCCAGCTGCCGGAGGCGGCCATCCAGCGCTCCAACACGCCGGGGAGGAGGAGGAGGAGGAGGAGGAGGAGGAGGAGGAGCAGGAGGAGGAGCAGGAGGAGGAAAGGAGAAGGGTGGGGGGCAGGTCCCAGGGTGGTCCTCGGGTCACGCTCGCGCGGCCGCCGTGGAGCATGCTGTCCCCGTCGCGCGCGCGCGCGTGTCGCCGCTCCGCTCCCGCGCTCCTCGCTACCTCCTCGCCGGCCCCCCCCGAGGACGAGCAGGGACGATGGAGAGGAGGGAGAGGAGAGTTAGGAATATCCCAGCATCTTTCGAGTGTGTCCTGCCCTAAAGATAATTGGGTCGAGCTCTTCACTTGCGTACTGGGAGAGCAGGGAGGAAGGAACGAACGACGACAGGGACGAGGGGAGACCGCAGCGCAGAGAGCGGCGAGGGAGGGGTGCCGGCGAGGGAGGGGACGGAGGAGGGATCGTCATATCCCCGTTTGGGGCGGGGGGGGCCCAGCCGCCATGACGATCCCGACGATGCGAGCCCGAACGGCAGGGTTAAAGATGAATGAAAAAGGACACAGATCGGCACCATCCCCGTTTACGACGCCTCCTCGGAGCAGTGTCGCTGTCTGGCAGGGGCCACGTGCCTTGAAGTCGTAGCTCGGTTCTCTCTCAATCCTACACTCGTGTTGGGTCCAGGCAAGGCGGCTCTGCTCACGCTCACTCCTTCTTGCCCCGCAGCATGTTCTCCAACGAGCTCTGGCTGCGGCGTTCGTTCCCGTGGTGGTGGTCCTGGCTTCGGGGTATTGCCTGACGCCACGTACATGCGAGTCAGGAGGGCACTCGTGGGCTGCATCATCCCGCTGATTTGGGCCCCAGCATTGATCAGGAACGTATGCCGTACCAGCTGAGGCTGACCCTCCTGCTGGTAGGTCGACTTCACGCGAAAGTATGTCACGCAATCGCATGCTACCGCTACTGGCTGTTGTTTGGGCCGTTGTACGGAATCTTGAAATCCATATCTGGTGTGTGAGCCCTGTCACTGAGTTCAACTGGCTCGAGTTTGCCATCGCTCCAGCACCGCTACTCTTACTATCAACGACGGTGGTCCTCGACTGTGGTCTGCTTTCCCCCCCACCACCTTGCTGTTCTGCTGCTCTGCTGCTACTGCTACCACAGTGAGTCATTGCCCGCGAGGAAGTAGGTGGGCCGATAGCAACACACCCTCCAACCCGTGGGTTCTTTGTGCTTGGCTCAACAATGCCTTCATCACCTCATGTGTCGTCTCGTCTTCCTGGTCCGTTGCCTCTCATCCCGCCGCAACCTTACTGAACGTCGCATCCTTGCCTCCTCCTTTCCCACCGGCGAATGAGCTCTTCCTGGAACCTCGGGATTGGGCGTCGACCTCCATCGTTGCTTGCAGTTGCTCTCCCGATATCGGTGGAAGCGTCCACGCCGCCATGTTCTTCACAAGAAGCTGGTAGTGAGAGGTACGCGTCTGCTGCAAGTTCCACGTGGGTTAGAATATGCGCCTACATAGCCGAGAGGCTCGGGAAGTCATCGCCGCACGCCGGGCACGCATAGTTTGCAGGGTCCTCTTATTTTGTGAGCGAAATGGTGTTGATCTGCATAGCATAATTTCTGTATGGCCAAGTTTCTCACATGCTGTCTGGTCACTGCTCGATTTCAGAACGTCGTCATGCACCAAGGGCAGTGCTGTGTGACTGTCAGCACTTGGCATAAAGCGCGGTGTCCGTGCGTCCCCCCTTTAGCAAATCTCATGTGGGCATACCACACCCACTCGTCATATAATTCCAGTCCGCATTCACTCACGTCCTCGTTGCGCTCTCTACACACCCACACTGTTGATTCCGCTGGCTGCGGCAGGGGAGGATCGAGGAGAGGTGAGTCCTGGGCAGGATCAGGTAACTCGAAGGCCTGCCGGAGTGGTGACAAATCGAGCCTTCCAAACTGGTACGCATTCTCACTAGTAAAAATTTGCAGGCCTTCCCTCCAAGTTCATGCAAGAGTTCAGCTCCCCCTTTAACTCCTCCGATCGATCCCAGATCAATTACCATTTGGTTGGCCCAGGGATGCCCGTGGTAGTGTCACCTGTGCAGGACAGCATAAGTCGGTAATCCAATATTGTTGGAGATTCTTCCTCAAACCCAAAGTGCCCGAAGACAGACGTCAGCAGTTGGCGATTGTCCTTGGGGTTCTTGGCAACGGAGTGCCACCATTGCAATCTGCAGATCCGAAGCTCGAAAAACGTGGGACGATCTTCAATGCTTTCCAGATGGCATGCGAGGGGAGGTTAGCATGCTTAACGGCCCCATCCACTCGCAGTGTTGTCATGGTCCCCTCCCCATGCATCAGTTGTTTGCCCCAATTGACTAAGATGGTGTCGAAATGCTCGCACTCCTTCTCACTCACACAGTACTCCTCCATCCCCGAAAGCCCTGCGGATTGGACTCTCGCTTTGGATACTAGGACCTGGAGGTGCCACGGGATCCCAGCAGCGAATCAGAAGCGTCCCATGGAGCACCACGCCGTTTCACACGTGGTCGATCGCTGCCTCACGATGTTTCGCGACACGGTAGTGTTTGTGTATTGCCCCCCCAAGATACGTCGATGCCGTCGCAACCATCCCAGGCCAGGCAAATACTCCAGAGAACTCGCGCGGTGCATTGTGTGTTCCCTCCCCCACAAACTTGGGTACCACCACTTGCTTCTCGTGATTATGTGCTCCTCTTACCGTGCTCAGTTGCTCGTCGAATTGCCTGCTCGCCTTCCCAGCTCCTTTAGCCATTCCTCGTGCTGTGTCCGGCGCTATCTTATGGGCGACGCCATACAAGAATACCGTCTTACTTGCATCCACTTGTTTTGCTTCCTCGTCCCACTGATGTCGATACACGAGCTCTTGATAAGTAGGACTCTGGCTACGCACAGTCAGCGATGGGGCAAGCGTTGTTCGGGCGAACGTCCTGAGGTACTTACTAGGGGAGCTTTGGTGTCCCTGGAGGACCCCTTCGTGCACTACGAGATGGTACTGTCCATCTTGGGCGTCAATCGTGATGCAACGTTGACGGTTGTAGTCCGTGCCAATGAACACGTCACTTGGGGTTGCGTGGCTCATATCGGTATCGTCGAACGTTTTTAATCTTATGCTTCCAATTGCATCCCGTTGGTCGTAGAACACAGTGGCGTGGGATTTACCTCTCTCTCTCTCTCCGCAATCATCGATCCTTTTTCACAAGTTGGATCGTGAGAGCTGGCTCCCGTCGTCTACCCATGAGTCCCCCACGCATGCAGTCCACAAGTTCGCAGTCGCCATGGCAGAAATCCCCCCGACATGTGACAGTGCTTGCGTGAGTGCTCTGCTGAAGTGGCACATGCGATGCACGACGCGAAGTGCTTACCAGTGTGTGTCTGGTCGGCTCGGGATCCTGCACGCGTCCCCGGGGAGTGCGCAACGGCTTCTTGCCATTTGTATGGCCCCAAACTTTCGCCTACGAAACCGGAGCATGTCAGGAAGCGAGCTGCTGAGTGTTCCCTGGTACAGTTGGGACCCATGCCAAGAAACACCATGCTCGCCTCCAGGGTGCCCTGGGTTTCTTGGGCTTCGATGGTTTTGCTGTGGAAAGCGTGACGTTCCCACACCAAAAATCAACGTACGTCCTGGGGTCTCAGGGTTGGGTTTCTTGTGGAAGGTTTCTTGTGGACTGGCCTCCACTGTATTGTCGGACCTTCGCGCACAGCATACTGGGATGCAGCAACATACGGAGCTCTTCTAGCGGTACACTTCATGGCGGGCAGCTCTTGCGAAGCTTCATCTTCAGTTCGGCCCTCCTCGTTGCTTCTATGTCTCTTTCGCACGCTCCTTTCCAGTCAGGGTCGTAAGATTCAAAACCTGGGCTGGGTGAGATGGGTGCCTCGGAGATCGGCGGCATGGGGACCGTCGTATAACTCTTCCATCCGTCCCTCCCAGGTTTCCCAAGGAAGGCGGTCCACCTCTCACAAGTCGGTCTAATCGTCATCGGAACATCGTGAAACCGTTTGCCAGGGCCTACTTCCGTCAGCGCCATACTTTTGGACAGCCGCGCCACGAGTGCCAGATCCCCCTTTTCTCCAAGCGTCCTTCAGCTGCCAGGCCAGGGAACGTAGTAGTTTCTCTCGGGCTTCCCTGGTCTGCTTCCAAAGATCCCGAGTGACACTATTGAGTGCGATACCGACTCTGGCGAGCACAGCTTGTCGGTCATCCGGCAGTGACCTTATCTATTCGCGAAGTTGCGCCCGTCTTGCTAGCAGTGCTCTCTGCTCCTCCCTTCCCAACTGCATCGCCGTGTCCTTACACTCGTACGCTGTGCATAGTACTTGAACGCTGCATTATGCACACGCTGCGCAAGGGAATGCCAAACGTGGTCAGGCGTGTCGTTGCATTCGTGCTGCATCCATCGCTTCCGTGAGTTCGTACATTTACGTCCCACCTCCCTTAGGAATTGTCTCCTGCCTTTGTCCCCATATCCTAAGAATGGGGTTCTTGTTATTGGCAAACCGCGCCTGAGGAACACAGGAGAACAGGAACACCCTCACCTCCTCTCACTCAGACCCACTCAGACTCACTCATCACGCAGACTCACTCATCACTCAGACTCACTCATCACTCAGACTCACTCATCACTCAGACCCACTCATCACTCAGACTCACTCATCACTCAGACTCACTCATCACTCGGACTCACTCATCACTCAGGTTACTCATCACTCAGACTCACTCATCACCCAGACCCACTCATCACTCAGACTCACTCATCACTCAGACTCACTCATCACTCGGACTCAGTCATGACTCAGACTCATCACTCATCACTCAGACTCACTCATCACTCAGATTACTCATCACTCAGACTCACTCGTACTTGTACTCATACATTCTCTACACTCACTCAGGTCCACTCATCGGATGACTCACACACACTGATGTTGAGGATGTGTCAGGCGATTCGGTTGTCTCAGCACTCCTAAGGGGAGCGGCGGGGGGGTATTTCACGGGGTCCCGTTCTCGGAATTTTGTGGGGATGTCTCAGGCGGTTTGGCCATTTTCTCTTCCAACATCTGTTGCTTTCGGAGCAGATTTGGAGGATGTCTCATGCGATTCGCTCGTCTCAGTACTCTAAGGGGGGCGGCGGGGGGTATTTCACACGAGGTCCCGTTCGCGGAATTTTGTGGGGATGTCTCAGGCGGTTTGGCCATTTTCTCTTCCAACATTTGTTGCTTTCGGAGCAGATCTGGAGGATGTCTCAGGCGATTCGCTCGTCTCAGGACTCTAAGGAGGGCGGCGGGGGGGTACTTCACGGGGTCCCGTTCGCGGAGTTTTGTGGGGATGTTTCAGGCGGTTTGGCCATGTTCTCCTCCAACATGTTTCGTTGTCGGAGCAGATTTGGAGGATGTCTCAGGCGATTCGCTGGCTTCAGCACTCCTAGGGAGGGCGGCGGGGGGGTATTTCACTCGGCCCCTTTCGCGGGATTGTGTGGGGATGTCTCAGACGGTTTGGCCATTTTCTCTTCCAACATGTTTCGCTTTCGGAGCAGATTTGGAGGACGTTCGCGCCCAGTTCGCGGGGATGGTTCAGGCGGTTTGGCCGTTATGATGTTGGGCATCTGTCGTTTTCGGAGCAGTTTCGGGGGGATGTCTCAGGCGATTTGCTGGTTTCAGCACTCCCAAGGAGGAGGAGGAGGAGGAGGAGGAGGAAGAGGAGGAGGAGGAGGAGGAGGGGGAAGAGAAGGAGGAAGCGAGGAGGAGGAGGAAAAGGACGAAGAGGAGGAGGAGGAGGAGGAGAAGGAGGACAGCATGAACACGGTAGGAGCAGAAGCAGGAAGGGGCGGATGATGATGATGATGATGATGATGAGGAGGAGGAGGAGGAGGAGGAGGAGGACGTGGGCAACTCGAGTAGCCAGGGCCAGACGATCGAGGTTCGATGTTCCAAAGCTTTAGGTTTTACTCAAACGCTTCTGCATCACTTTCCTTCGCTCTCCGCTCTCCTTCACTCTTCTGCATTCAGACTCACCCATACTCAGACTCAGTCACACGCAGGCCCACTCGCACTTAGACTCGCTCATATCCATACTTAAACTTACTCACACTCAGACCCACGCTCAGAACCACTCATACTCAGACTCGTTCCTGCTCAGACTCATCATCCTTCGGTCTGCTCAAGCGCAGACAGACTCACACTCATACTGCCTCACATCCATACCCAATCACACTCGGCTCACTCGCATTCAGATTCATTAACACACACACACACTTTTTCTAACATTCAGACCCACTCAAGCCCAGACTCACTCATGCTCAGACTCATCATGCTACGATCCGCTCAATCACAGACTGGCTCGCACTCATATTCGTCCATACTCAGACCCCCTCGCACGCAGACGCACCCGCGCTCATATTTACCCACACGCATACCCATTCAAACCCAGGCTCAATCGCACCCATATTAACTCACACTCAGAATCAGTCGCTCTCAGATTTGCTATTGGTCGTACTCATGCTTGCAGACTGTGGGAATGTCTCGAGCGAGCGGTTCGCCCTCGCACACGGGCGCTCATTGACATATATCCAGAGAAAGACGTACCAAGAGAATGAGATGCACATGTGGGGAGCCCCGCGGCGAGTAATTCCATAGTCAAACCCTCCACCAGCCTATTCATATTCCACCTTGAGTTGTTGCGGCTGGCACTGGCGGGAAATCCCGTATATACCATATCTGTATTTGCAACGGCCAGCGGTCCCAACGCCAGTTCGAGTTCACCGCCTGTATTGTCCGTCCCTTTCGTTCGAGAATTCGAGAGTGAATTATTGAGTTGGGTCAGCTTCAAGGTGCCGCCACATAGTCGATCCTGGTGCTGTTACGGTGTCCGTAAACCGTGTCATGTCCACCCACAAATCTATTTAGCAGACAGAGGCCGCATTGTCCCAACAGCAAGCGTACTTGCTGCATCGCGTAGTGCTCCTGCTTCGGGGCTAGTGGTCCCACAGGGTTCGTAGCATCGTCAATTCCTCCTGCATCGCGTGTGATTGCCTGTCGTTGTACCGTGCGCCACGGTGGCAGATAGAGTAAACAGCAGAGAAAGTGGAATCGCCCACTTCTCACGATCACCGCTCCCGCCCTCCCTTGTAGCACGGCTGGTGGAGACACGACTTCAACAATATGCTGCGCCCGCAACAAGTTGCTCCACAGCCTTAGTTGCACACCCGCATGCGTATTGCCAAACGACGAGACGTGCGTTTGCTGATCCTGCTGATAATGCATGGTGTGTCCGGGATACGTTTGCGTAGTCTAGTGCCCGTCACAAGTTTCATAGTTTCTGCACAGTTGTCCCAAGTCACGTCTGCGCACTTGCTTGGTTGTATGGAAGAGCACGCATTGCAGGTAACAACGTTGAGAGGGCGGGGTGATGACACGCAGCGGGGGGATTCTACAGCGACGGGGAAAATATGTGCGCCAGACAGGCACGGAACTGGGTGCACGGAAGGCGCGTGCATATGGCCGTCATTGGGGCTAACGGTGCTTGGAGGAAGGAGGGGGAGGAGGAGGAGGAGGAGGAGGAGGAGGAGGAGGAAGTTCCTCCTCCTTTCTTTGTCATTCTGGATACTTTTTCCCCGTCGCACCCCGAGGCCAGTCGACAGGGCGGGCCTGGCGCTTCGCCCTGCAACTCCCGTACCATTCATGGGCCGGAAGTTGAAAATACAGGCAACAGCTTCACAAATGGAGAGCAGGTCGTTTCCACATGTGGCCACTGCTCCAGCGCCGCGCCAATTCGCATTCTGAGCTTGCAAGAGCTTCACGGATTGAAGGCGGGCCGCTTTCAAATGTTAATATCGTTTTAGTGCCGGGCATATTCACTTAAACCAATCGCAGAGTTTCACAGATTGAGGTCGGGTTCAAAATGCGGTTTCGCCTTAGCGCCGTGTTCACTCGTTTAGAATATGTGCAAGAGTTTTACGGGTTGAAGGTGGGTCGTGTTCGCAATGTGGTTCTCGCCATAGCGCCGTTTTCATTCGTCTTTTAATACAGTTGCTCGATTTCCACGGATTGAGGGCGGGCCGTTTTCAAAGTGTGGTTTTCGCCTTAGCGCCGCGCGCATATCGTTCTCGCCTGAGCGCCGCGCACAATCGTTTTGAACATTTGCAAGAGCTTCATTGATGGAGGGCGACTCCTTGTCAAAATGTGATTTTCGCTTTAGCGCCGCGTACTTTCGCTTTAAGCATTCGCAAGGGTTTTCATTGGTGCTCATGGCTAACGTATCAGAAACGGCGTTTTGGAACTATTCAGGATTGTCAGGACGCAACAGTTACGTTTATTCGCGGTGCTAAAATCATAAGAATGGCATTATGACAGAATTCAGGATCGCCAATATGCAAAATTCAGGGTTACTCTTGGCAATGAAATCATGAAAATGGTGTTCTCGTACGTGCCAGGATGTTCACAGCTTCGTCCCCCAACGGGGCAAACTTTCAGTGGAAATGGACCCTTCTTAGGGGCCTATGGAGAAGGAGCTTGGAGGGGGGGTGTCTTCCAACATCGTTGATGAGTCTTGGGTTTACACTGGTCCTCCTCCATCTCCTCCTCCTACTCCTCCTCCTCCTCCTCCTCCTCCTCATCATCATCATCATCACCATCATCTTATTCCTCCTCCTCCTCCTCCTCCTCCTCATGCGCCCCGCTTTGGAGGCGATATGCCGTTGCTGACGGGAGCCGAGGGCGGCGGAGTATGGGCGCACCCGTCGCTGCGGTCGCGCCCGCTGCTGGACCGCGGTTCTGGGCTGGTGGCGGCCGCGGGGCCCATCGGCGCCGGGGAGGACCGCCAGTCGCCCGGGCGGACGAGGGTATTTGGGAGGAGGAGAGGAGGAGGAGGAGGAGGAGGAGGAGGAGGAGGAGGAGGAGGAGGACGGGGAGGAGGAGGAGGAGGAGGAGGAGGAGGAGGAGGAGGAGGAGGAGGAGGATGTAAGGAGGAGGAGGAAAAGGATTTGAGAGGAGGAGGAGGAGGATGTAAGGAGGGATAGCAAAGATTGGGTGGCCCAGGTGTCGAGCGGGAAGTGCCCCGAAGTTTTCGTCGTTGCCTTTGTTGACGGCCTTTGGGAAGCGAGGCGGGACCCTGCCCAGCTCCTCACGCGCTCCGGTCTCGAACTGCCCACTTTGACTGGTCAAGGTATTGGTTGGGTCGCGTCTTGTTGTTAGGGGCAGGTGGCATTGACACCTGCTGCCGCTGAGTACAGTACAGCAGAGAGGAAAAAAAGAGTTCCTCCCCTCCTTCCCGTCCGCCCTCAGCAGCACGCGTGGCCCAGCCCCGAGAAGTTCGACGCGCGCGGGGCCGCCGCCGCTGCCTGCTGATTGGATGCGGCCGAAAGTCGATGCTACCTGCGAGATACAGCTCGCGATGGCCGAGACGCAAAAAAAACTCTGAGGAGGAGGAGGATGTAAGGAGGAGGATGTAAGGAGGAGGAGGAGGAGGAGGAGAAGGAGAAGGAGGAGGAGGCAGGAGGATCCAAATATCCTGGCGCCTCCGTTTTTTCGAGCCGGGTTTCCTCGACAGGTTTCGGGTCCCAGGCCATCACGGAGGTGATGTAAAGAGGCCCCCTGGCATTCTCGGAAGGGATCGGTTCCTCAACGATGCTGCCCGGCCAGAGCACGAAAGAGAGAAAATGGGTCGAGCCCTAAATGAGCGCGGCCCGTGGCCTGTCGCGATGGCCAGCCTGATGTTAAAAAATTTACCGCATGCCGACGATAATGGAAATCCCCCTCCCTTAACCCGTCATATACGATGGCGCCTGGGCTCCACATGGTTCAAATTCCCACGACAGGCGGGGGGGGCGAACTTTTTTATCCCCCCCGAAGAAGATCGCATCGCAACTTTGACTTCATGGCATGCCTAGCACCATGAGTAATTGTTATCACCGTTGTTTGCGAGGGTGTCTCAAGCGAAACGCCCACGTTCGAAGGTTCGCCGAGTTCGCGACCATCGGCTATTGGCGGATGTCCCAAGCAAAAATTGTTGTATTGTTCATGGGCCCCGAATTGGAGAGGCCTGACGGCCGGTGCCGCCGACCCTGATCGAAAGGGCTAGGAGCGGGGGGAGGAAGCGGAGGAGGAGGATGAGGAGGAGGAGAAGGAGGAGGAGCAGGAGGAGGAGGAGGAGGATGAGGAGGAGGAGGAGGAGGAGGATGAGGAGGAGGAGGAGGAAGAGGAGGAGGAGGAGGAGAGGAGGAAGTGCATCCTTTGTGTGCCCGCTCGAAGAAAGTGCGCCCCGGGAGTGTGATATTCTGACTTGGGACGTGCTCCCGGAAGAGGAAGAAGTGCATCTCGGGCGTGCCCGCTCGAGGAAAATGCGCCCTAGGGGGGTGGTATTTTGACTCGGGGCCCGCTCCCGGGACGCCTCTGCGGGAGGAGGAGGAGGAGGAGGAGGAGGAGGAGGAGAGGAGGAGAGGAGGAGGAGGAGGAGAGGAGAGAGGAGGAAGAGGAGGAGGAGGAGGAGGAGGAGAGAGGAGGAGGAGAGGAGGAAAAGGAAGAGGAGGAGGAAAAAGGAGGAGGAGGAGGAGGAACAGGAGGAGGAAGGAGGATGAGGAGGAGGAGGAGGAGGAAGGGAGGAGGAGGAGGAGGAGGAGAAGGAGGAGGAGGAGGAGGAGGAGGAAGTGCATCCTTTGTGTGCCCGCTCGAAGAAAGTGCGCCCCGGGAGTGTGATATTCTGACTTGGGACGTGCTCCCGGAAGAGGAAGAAGTGCATCTCGGGCGTGCCCGCTCGAGGAAAATGCGCCCTAGGGGGGTGGTATTTTGACTCGGGGCCCGCTCCCGGGACGCCTCTGCGGGAGGAGGAGGAGCAGGAGAAAGAGGAGGAAGGAGGAGGAGGAGGAGGAGGAGGAGGAGGAGGAGGAGGAGGAGTAGGAGGGAGGAGGAGGAAGAGGAGGAGGAGGAGGAGGAGAGGAGCAGGAGGAGGAGGAGGAGGAAAAGGAAGAGGAGGAGGAAAAGGAGGAGGAGGAGGACCAGGAGGAAGAGGAAGTGCATCCCGTGCGTGCCCGCTCGAGGAAAGTGCGCCCCGGCGGGCGTCGTATCTGCCCCGCCCCCCCCCCCCCCTGCGGGGAAGGGATCAAAGGGAAGGGGCTTCCTTTCGACTCCACTACGACGTCGTTTAATTTCGCTTTGGACAGCGCGCTTGAGGAGGAGAGCCCTGGGAGGGGGAGGACGGAGACGACGCAGACGACGAGTCGAACGGAGAAGCCCCTCACACACGCCGACAGGGTCGGCGGATTTTATCATCTCTGCGGGATTATTCTCGCCGGCGCAGGGTTGCCTGACATGGGAATTCGATCCCATGCCAAGCGCGTTGCTGCCGCGCTCGGTGCTGGCAAATCCTCACTGCTCTTGCCTTTTTTTTCAGTGGAGTCGGGTGCTCTCCGTTTTCGCCTTGCGCCCAGACCCAGTTGTCCGCCAGACGCGCAGCATTCCCCCGCGCCTTCCGTCATCTGCCAAGTGTTTCGCATGCGACCTGGCTCGCGCATCGGGAGGTCTATTTCGCACGCCCCCAACCGTGTTCAGACTGCCGATATGCGGCGGGCCCGCTGCTGGATGGTGGGTCAACGCCAGCAAGGCATACATCTTTTTCGATCGGAGAAAGCGCAGGGAGATGATCCTCCCTCGCTTGCGCGCCGATGGAATGAATGGCCCCCCATCTAGTGCTCGTGGACTCTGGCGCCTACCCGGAAGCAAGGGCCGGCGCTGGCGGCGGCGGTGAGTCTTGGAAGCTACTGACACAGAGGTATCAATCGCGCGTTGCTTGCGCTGGGAATCTGGCATTTGGTTTCACGCAGACGCCCGCGAGTCACAACGCGTCCACCACGCGTGTCCTCGCACGCGTTGTTCAATGAGCTTCGATTGCTTCGGCTGCCATTCGCGCGCAGAAGGAAGGGCAACAAGCTGCGATTGGTTGTTCTCGTCACGCGCCTCCATCTGACCCCGCTGGCTGCAGGAGTTCGGTTTCCCCGCGCATCCTGTGGGCATCGCGAAGTGCGCTAGTGATGCGTAGTACAGAATGGCGAGCAGACCTTCTACTTTGCAGAAGATGCTTATTCAACATGCTGAAAGCACGAAGATCTCTGAGTAGCTTCTCACGCATGAGTTTCGTCATCGGTTTCGGCATCATACGCCGCGAGCTTCGCGAGAACTGGAGACGTCTCGCCCGCGCTCTGCGCATTAATCAAAATCCACGGCGCCAGGGTATCCAAGGGCAGGTTCTTCAGCAACTTCGGGTATTCGAGCACGCTGCTTCTGAGCGTTCTTTTACCACAATGCGACATTGAGTTTCGGATCTGAACGTTGGGGGGCGCCGACTCCATATCCACCTGCTCGCGTCTTCGGCGTCGTGATGTTGTGCTGGTGAGCTTGCTGGAAACTGATTGCAATAGATGGGCTGCGACTGCTCGAAGTCGACAGCCGCTCGCCCCCTTCAGATTTGGATGTTAGGCCGCCGCTCCTGATGCCATCCCTTGTCTACATCACTTGCACGCGCGCTCCGACCTGTTCTTCGCATGGCCTGCCTGCCTGCGCTGCCCGCCTGCCCTTCCCGAGGGAGCCTCGCAAGCGGCTCCTCCCGCATCTGCTCGCATGGGGTACTATCAGGAGGCCCACTCTCAATGCCATCAGCATTGAGTTGTTGCATTGCGTTTGTCTCCGTCTTCGCATTTTGCACGCTCGCGTTCGCCAGTTGCTTCGCCGCCGCCACGCCGTAGTCTCTGTCCTCACGGATATCGCGTTGCTGCCCGCGCGCCGACGTTGCCTTGCCGATCCCCCTCTGCTCCTCCTGCTCCTCCTCCCCCTCCTGCTCTTCCTCCTATTCCTCCTCTTCCTCCTCTTCCCCGGCTATCCGATGTTGCGATTTCCTAGCCGCGTGGATCCCCAGAGGTCCGGATCCTTTCCCCGGGACGGGCTTTTCATCACGAGTCGTTTTCGAGCGGCCCCAGCAAGGCCCAGCGAGGGTTGTTAGAGACCAAGAACCTTCAAGAGCCGTCCGTCGTGATGGCGGTTGCTCCGAGTGAGAAGTGGCGACGTGGGCGGGGGGGCAAACCGATGCCGAAAGCCTTTGACATCCGCCCGCCGTGATGGTTGTCACTCCGACTGGAAGCGGGGAGGTGGGCGGGGGGGGCCACCGGAACCCGAAGACCTTCAAGATCCGCCCGTCGTGACGTCTGCGGTCCCGAGGGCAAAGTGGGGAGGCAGGTGGTGGGGCCTCCAAAGTTTCAGCGACCTGCAAGAGCCAAGAGCCGTCCGTCGTGATACTTGTCGTTTCGAGGGAGAGGCGGGGCGGGGAGGGGCACGAGAGGCCGAAGGCCTTCAAGAGCTGTCCATCGTGATGTTTGCTGTTCCGAGGGAGAGGGGGGGCGGAGGGAGGTGCGAAGGCCCCCAAATGCCAACGACCTTCAAGAGCCTTCCGTCGTGACGGTTGCTATTCCGAGGCGCAGGTGGCGCGGTGGGTTGGGCGGGGGGGGTGGGGCATTGGGCTACCAGAACCCGGGGGCCTACAAGAGCGGTCCGTCGTGATGTCTATTGTTCCGAGGGAAATGTGGGGCGTTTGGAGGGTGGGGGCCGCTGGAACTGGCGCGGATGTTGCTAAGGAGACGCAGTTTTGTTCAATGGATGTCAAGGCGCATTATGTTTTGCCAAATTTACCGTGTAAGTGGATTAAGCGGGTTCCGATCTGACCCCCCATCAGCCAAGCCATGTGGGGCATGTGCAACCCATTTACAAGCTAGGTCAGGCCTGACTAAACCACCTTTAACCTGCGGCCTCTTCTGTGCCCTTACCAAACTGCGTGGCCCTCCCAGCGGCCCCCACCGCCCCACCGCCCCGTTTGTTCCCCCTGGGCAGCAAACATCACGACGGGTGGCTCTACAAGGTCTTCGGCTTCTGAAGTTCCCCCACACACCTTTCGCTTTCCCTCGGGGCAGCAAACATCACGACGGGCGGTTCTTCAAAGCCGTCGGTTTCTGGTTATCCCCCGCTCCGCCCACCGCCCCCCATCATCACCTGCACTTCGGAGCAGCAAACATCACGACGGGTGGCTGTTGAAGGTATTCGGTTTCTGTTTGCCCCCGCAGACCATCCTTCCATGCTTGAGAGGGGCAGGCAGCCAAAGATGTCATTGGGCGAAAGCGGGGCCACAGACCCGTTGAGGGACCCGCGGGGCAGCAGGGTTGAGCGCGCGCGCCCGCGAGAGGAGCAGGAGGCGGGGCCAGCTCAGCCAGCCGACGCCAGCACAGCAAAGCTGCGCGAGCTCCCGGGAACCCACCCGCGGCCCCTCCGTTGATGGACCCCCATTCCCTTTAGCGAACGCCCGCGCCGATCCCAGAGGACGTCCTCCGCGTGCCGGAGAGCGCGTTGCTCAACGTTTTCTCCGCGCTGCAGTCGCCGACCTTCGGCCCCGCTGGCCGTGGCCTGCTCGCGGCCGGCGTGCACGCCGAGGCCGTGACGATGCTCTTCGCGATCGCCGAGAAGCGGCGCCGCGCGGCCATGGCGGCGGGGGAGGCGGCGGCGGTTCAAAGATGGGGCCCCCAGGAAGGAGGAGGAGGAGGAGGCGGAGGAGGAGGAGGAGGCCGAGGGGGAGGAGGAGGAGGAGAAGGACGACGAGGAGATGGTGGAGGAGGAGGAGGACAACGACGACGACGAGAGGAGGAGGAGGAAGTGGAGGAGGAGGAGGAGGAGGAAGACGAGGAGGAGGAGGAGGAGGAGGAGGAGGAGGAGGAGGGGGAGCGTGAGGGGGTGGAGATGGAGATGGAGGAGGAGAAGGCGGAGGAGGAGGCGGACGAGGAGGCGGCGGAGAAGAAGGAAGAAGAGGAGGAGGAGGAGGAGGAGGAGGAGGAGGGGGATGGGGCGGCGATCCAAATCTGGGGCGCTTAGGGACGGGGCCGCCAGCGGGGCCCTCAGGACGGGAGGTAGGCGACCAGCTTGAACCGTCCCTGTTTGAGGCCCCTCTTCCTCGGGGCCCCACCCCTCAGGGTCGTGGCATCGCTCGGCCGTGTGCGTTTCTGTTCGGCGAGGGCCGTCGTCGACGGCCCTCGACTTTGCTCCTCGACTCGGCATTGCTCCTCGATTCGAGGAGCCAAGCGGATCATCCTACGAAAAAATAAGCGCACGAAGTCGAAAAATGCACGGGGAGTGGGCGCCCGAGCGATGGCCAGGGGCTCCACCCTTCGCCGCCGAAAGGCGGCGGCCATGGCGGCCGAGGCACCCTGGCTGGAGCTCCTCGCCCGCGCGCCGCCGCTGGAGGAGCTTGGAGGGGAGAGAGGCAACACAGCGACGCCGCTGCTCGTCCTGGGGGGGCTCCTCCTCTTCCTCCTCCTCCTCCTCCTCTTCCTCCTCTTCCTCCTCCTCCTCCTCCTCCTCCTCTTCCTCCTCCTCCTCCTCCCTCCTCCTCCTTCTCCCTCCCCTCCCCTCATCCTCAGCTCCTCCTCTCCTCCCTCCTCCTTCTCCTCCTCCTCCTCCTCCTCCTCCTCTCCTCCTCCTCCTTCTACTCCTCCTACTCCTACTCCTATTCCTACTCCTCTTCCTCTCCTCCTCTGCTTCTCCTCCTCCTTCTCCCTCCTCCTCCTCCTTCTCCTCCTCGTCTCCTCCTCTTCCTCCCTCTCCTCCTCTTCCTCCTGCCCCCCCCCCCCTTCCCCTCCCCCTCCAAAATGTGGATTCCAAAATGCGGTTCTCGCCTTGGCGCCGCGCTCCTTCTTCGTCAAATTCTGTAGGAAGTTTATTGAGGGCGGTTCCTTTTCAAAATGTGGTTCTCGCCGCAGCGCCGCGTACATTTCTTCTGAAAGTTTACAAGAGCTTCACGGATTGAGGGCGGGTGGTTTTCAACATGTGGCTCTCGCCTTGGCGCCGCGCACATTCTTTTTCAAAAATTGCCAGACCTTCACGGATTGAGGGCGGGTGGTTTTCAAGATGTGGTTCTCGCCTGCGCGCAGCGCACAATTGTTTCAAACGATTGCAAGAGCTTCACGGATTGAGGGCGGGTGGCTTTCAAAATGTGATTCTCGCTTTAGCGCCGCGCGCATGCTTTTTTGTGCAAGATGTTCAAGGATTGAGGGCGGGTTCCTTTTCAAAATGTGGTTCTCGCCTTTGCGTTGCGCACATTCGTTATACGTAGTAAGTATTTGCAAGAGCTTCACGGATTGAGGGCAGGTGGTTTTCAAAATGTGGTTCTCGCTTTAGCGCCGCGCACATTCGTTTTTCTAATTGCACAAAAATTTGAGTGATTCCCATGATCAACGTACCACACCATGTTTTTGATGGGTTCCGGATTATGCGGGTGCAACCGTTATTTTGATTCGCAGTTTTGAAATCAAAAAATGGCGTTATGGCACTGCTCCAGATAAGCATGACGCAGCAGTCAGGTTGATACGTGGCGTTGAAATCCAAAGAGCAATGTTTTGGCACGCTTCGGGATCTTCAAACGGTTGTCTTCCAACGAGGCAGATCTTTCAATGGAAATGAACCGTTGTAGGGGCCTATGATGAGGGAGCTTGGAGGGAGGGTGTATTCCAACATCGTTGATGACTCTTGGGTTTGCATTGGTCCTCCTCCTCCTCCTTCTCCTCCTCCTCCTCCTCCTCGGTACGCTGGGCTCCTCCTCCTCCTCCTCCTCCTCCTCCCTTTCCTCCTCCTCCTCCTCCCCCTTCCCCTCCCCCTTCCCCTCCCCCTTCCTCCTCCTTCTCCTTTCCCATCCCTTATACATAACTTCTCCCTGTCACACCCCGAGGCCAGTTTTTATGGCGGGCCAGGCGTTTCGCCTGAGACTTTGAGACTTCCTCACCAGATAGGTCTCTGAAGCTTTAAACTGACAACTGCTTCAAAGATGGAGGGCGGGTGGTTTTTTAAATGTCGGTCTCGCCGTAGCGCCACGCACATTCGTTCTAACAATTTGCAAGAGATTCACGGATTGAGGATCACCCGTTTTCAAAATGTGGTTCTCGCTTTACCGCCGCGCACATTCGTTTTGAAAAATTGCAAGAGCTTTGCATTTTGAGGAGCATCCGTTTTCAAAATATGGCTCTCGCCTCAGCGCCGCGCACATTCGTTTTTTAGAACTTGCAAGAGCTTCACGGATTGAGGGCGGTTCCTTTTCAAAATGTGGTTCTCGCCTTAGCGCCACGCACATTCGTTTATAAAAAATGCAAGGGTGTCACAGATTCCCACGATCAACGTACCAGAAATTTTGATGGGGAAGGATTCAGGATTATGCCGGCGCAGCAGTTACGTTGATTCTCGGTGTTGAAATCCCAAGACTGGCGGTCTGGCACGATCCAGGATCGTCAAGACGCAACAGTCAGGTTGATCCGTGGAGTTGGAATCCCGAGAACAATGTTTTGGCATGCTTCAGGATCTTCAAACGGTTATTTTCCAACGAGGCAGATCTTTCAATGGAAATGAACCGTTGTAGGGGCCTATGAAGAGGGAGCTGGGAGGGAGGGTGTATTCCAACATCGTTGATGGCTCTTTGGTTTACACTGGTCCTCCTCCTCCTCCTCCTCCTCCTCCCCCTCCTCCTACTCATCCTCCTCTTTCGCCTCCTCCTCATCATCATCATCATCATCATCATCATCATCATCATCATCATCATCATCATCATCATCATCATTAGCATCATCAGCATCATCATCAGCATCAGCAGCATGATGAGCCAGCTTCCCCTCTTACTCGGAGGGGAGAGGTAACGCAGCGATGTCTCTGCTCGTCCTGGGGAGCTCTCGTCGCCACGTTTGGATTATCCTCGAGACTCTCCCCGAGATCCTGGCGTCTCAATATTTTCACAGCAGGCGTGTTCGCCTCTTTTTGGGGCCCGGGACCCTCGCAGATGGCTCGAAAAAACGACGCAGAAAGATGGGATCGAGGGTTTTGGGTATGATGTTTTACGATGTTGCGTTGTTTCGCTGCGTCGGATCTCAGGGCTGGCCAGGGCGCACCCCGGGAGAGGTCCGGGGAGTAGCGGTACATATGGGCACCGTTTGTCTAGGGCTCCTAGATGGGTCCGAGCAGACGGGGTCAGAGGATCGCGCCGCATCGCCGATGCATCGGCGATGCTGCCCGATTTGAAGCCCGATTGCGAAGGCCTCACGGCCAGCGCCGCCGACCCTGAAGGCGAGACCTCCCCTGGGACCCCCGCTGGCGACCCCTCCCCCGGGGCCCGCTGGGACCCTGGGAGGGGCAGCATTCTGACCCAGGACCCCCTCCCCCCACAGCAGGCGCGGAACCCCCGCTGGCGACCCCCCGTGGAGCGGCAGTCTGACCCAGGGCCATCCCCCGCATCACAGGCGGAACCTCCCCCAAGACCCTTGCTGGCGAGCCCCTGAGAACCCGCCGAGACCCCGGGGGGGGGGCGGCATTCTCTTGGCCCAGGACCCCCCCACCACCACCCCACCCCGGCAGGGAAGGGATAATGGGAAGGGAATCGATTTTACCACGACGTAAATATGTTCCTTGTTCCTTGTTCCTCAATCTCCTTGGGACTGACGACGACGACGACCACGACGACGACAGCGTCTCTCACACGCCGAACGGTCGGCGGCATTCTCCGCGCCGATGCGTCGCAGACGCGTCGCCGACGCGTCGCCGAGGCGTCGCCGAGGTGTCGACGATGCGTCGGCGCTGCGGCGCGATCCTCGGACCCCGTCTGCTCGGAGGCCCCAGGCGGGAGGCCCCCCGGCATGGCTCTCCCCCGAGGAGGCCACGCAGCTCGCCGCGTGGCCCCGCGAGGCCGTCGAGGCCCTGGGCAGCGAGGAGATCGCCGGCGCGGTGGCGACCTCGGTGGCGTCGCTGTGGGACCTGTGCCGCAGCGCGAAGGACGCCGTCGCCGCGCTGCCCGAGGCCCGAAGCCAACCGCCGCAAACGGGGCGTTCATAGACGGGGCGGCAGCTAAGGGGCCTCTTCAAAAGCGAGAATGGGGCGGCAGGGCATTTATCTCGCATCAGTGCGTGATAAATCGGGGCGCCAAGAACGTCTATACATGATACAGCAGCATCATCATCACCACCACCATCATCATCATCATCATCATCATCATCATCATCATCATCATCATCACCATCACCATCACCATCACCATCATCATCATCACCATCATCATCATCATCATCATCATCATCATCATCATCATCATCATCATCATCATCATAACTCCGGGCGGTGGGGGGTACCTCTCATTTGTGCGCGGCAAGCCAATTTTCTGGAAACGCCTTTGAAAACACACCCTAGCTTTTGAAAAGGAGCCAGAACCTATGCACCGACGCTTTCTCCAGCCTCGCACCGAAACTCGCACAGGATAAAAGCGGATCTTGGTGTACGCGGGGTCCTGGTGTACACATGTTTCGCGGCTTCCCCATCGAAACGGGGAACCAAAAGTCTATACACCACCCCGACGTCGTCCCCGACCCTCCAAAGGTCCCGGGATGGACAAAACAGCCCGCCACTGGTAATGTCTACGGCCCAGTCCCCGACGGACGAGAAGCAGCGGCGGAGGCAGACACTCTTGCAGCTCCGCGCGGGCCCCTCCGCTCGGCGCCGGGCCCCCGCCGCGGCGGCGCCTCTCCAGCGCGCCGCCCCGGCGCGCGCGGGGCCGGAGGCACCAGAGGCGCCGCCGCCCAGGGGCTCGCCGCGGCGGAGCCCCTGGGAGTGCGAAGTGTGCCCGTGCTGCGCGTGGCTGCCCCCCCCCGAGGCGGCCAGGGAGGCCCTCGGCGGCCCCGTGGGCTTCGACGACCTGCTGTGGGCGCGGTGCCTCTTCGACGGCCGCGCGGTGGAGGTGGACCTGGAGGCGCCGCCCGGGCTGCGGGCCGAGGCGGGGGAGGCCCCGCCGAACGGCGAGGACCGGACGGGGGCCGGTGGAGACCCCGGCGGGCCTCCCCAGATCTGCTCGCAGGAAGAAAAGAGCACGAGTGCAGGAAGGCGGTTCTCTGTTTTCGGACTCGGGGGGCCCTCGCGGGGCCCTAGGACCGTCAAGAAACGACTCAGGATGAGAGGCCGGTCCCGGGGAAGGGGTCCAGATCTCTGGGGGTCGACGCTGTGAAAAAAATCACGACGTCGGGGGTCTGAATCCTGGGCATGTCGCGTCTTCTTCCCCACATCCTAAGTGGAGTTCTTGTTTTCTCTGCACACTTCCGCGCCGCAGCCTCACACCTCATCCCCTCCTCTTGTCATCACCATCCCATCATGGTCCGCGTTCATCATGATCACCCGCTCACTCTTTCGCTCTTTCAATCATCACCCACTCATGCGTTATTACGTCATGATCCCATCCGGGTCATCATCATTATGAACGACTCACATCCACTCTCACCCACGCAGTCACATTCATTCAACACCCATTCACTCATCATCACGCCAACGCCCGCAGGAAGTTTCAGGCGGGAGCCCCCTCCCTATGGGGCCCACATTTCAGGTTCGAATCCGAGCGGGTCAACCAACTCCTCTAACCGTCGTCGCATTTGGGCTCTTCAGGCATGATGCCAGAGGAAGTCTCAGAGGAGGGCCTTGTGTGTGAGTGAATCGCGAGGACGTCTCAGGCGGGAGCACCCCCGCATGGGGCCCAAACTCCATGTTCGAATCCAAGCGGGTCATCAAGCTCTTATAACTGTCCTCACTTTTGGGTTCCTCTGGCATGAATCTTGAGGAAGTCTCAGACGGGAGCCTCGTCTGTGAGTGAATCGCGAGGACGTCTCAGGCGGGAGCTTCCTTCCCTATGGGACCCAGACTTCACGGGAGCCCTTTCCCCATGGTGCCCGCGCGTCATGTTGATAATCCAAGCGGGTCAGCGGGATCTTTGTACCTGTCGTCATTTTTGAGTTTCTCAGGCTTGAGTATGGAGGAAGTCTCGAGCGGGAGCCTCGTCTGTGAGTGAATCGCGCGTGGCGGCGCAGACTTGCATGGCGAGTGGTTCGTTTCGGGGGTCTCGTTGGCGCTGGTCTGGAGCTGCGCAGAGGCGCCAGTGGGCAGAAGGTTCGAGTGAGGGGTGGAGGAGGAGTGTGAGGACGTGGTGGAGGAAGGGGGAAAAGGCAGGGGAAGAGGAGGTGGAACATCGACATTCGCCCCCCTGCCAGGAGGAAGGAGAGGTGCATGAGGAGAGCACACGGGATGGAGTTGAGGAGGGGGAGGAGGAGGAGGAGGAGGAGGAGGAGGAGGAGGAGAAGAAGAAGAAGTTGTGGATGAGGAGGAGGAGGAGGAGGAGGGGGAAAAAGACGAGGAGGAGGAGGATGAGGAGGAGGAGGAGGAGGGGGATTCTGAGGAGGAGAGGGATGAGGTGGAGGCGGAGGAGGAGGAGGATAAAAAATGGAACGGGTAGGGCGAGAGTGACAATGATGATGAAGAGGAGGCGGAGGACACAGAACCTGGAGGAGGGCCTGCGCCAGTCGAAGAGGAAAAGAGCGAGGGGCAAGCTAAACAAAATCTCATGTGGGGTCCTACCGTCGGAGTAATGCGTTCTTTTACTTATTCGTTGTTTTGCCGAGCGGCGCGGGCCCTCGCAAGCCCTCCCCCCTCCATCGAGCAGATCTTGGCTGTTTCTTGGCGCCTGTTTCACGCAGGTGGAGCCTCCCCCATAGGACGCACTGTTGCAAACAGTCGCGTTAAGCAGAGGTCTGGAGCCAGACACACACCACCTCTCCCCCCCCATTCCGCCCAGTGTCGGAACGCCGAAGAAGAGAACGTTCCCGGTCCCGTCCTGGTCCTCTTGGACACCTCACGTCTCAACGACTAGGCTCGCCTCCAAGACCGGGTCAGGATGGACCCCGGGAGGGATCGGACGGACGGGGCCAGGGCGAGGAGGAAACCCTTGTCCAGAGCGTTTCGGAACGCTCTCGGAGCGCTCGGGAACGCTCTGGGGAGGCCGCCTGGCCCGAGACATCCTCCAGAGCCGCCACGAGAGATGCAGAGATTCTCGGGGAGGCGTGGTCATGCAGTACTAGTTCGTGGAGCTCATTCTCCGTGGTGTGCCTACGATGCGTGTTCATGCGTGATGTGCATGATCTGGGTGGGCGGAGTCGGTTCAACGCCAGGTGCGTCTTGCGAGAGAGCCGGCGCGGCAAGCCCATGCAGCGCGCAGCGGATCGACCTCCCGTCCGTTGTGCACACTGCGCCCTGGGTTCGGGGGCCCCCAAACGGGGCGGTGACCACACCGTGCGGTGAGTCGGTGGGGATTCGGGGTCACCGCACAGTTTTGGGACTCGAGTCCCTTTCCGAGGATGTCTCGGGCGACGGGTGCCTCCAGGGTCCCAAAACCGTGCGGCGACGGACCGTGCGGTGAGGTCTGGGGGGATTTTGAGGTCACCGCACGGTCCGTCACCGCACCGTTTCGGGACTCCAAATGGGTGTCCGTGTTCTCGTCTTGTGTCGTGCTAGGCTTCTGTCAGGGCGGGGGGGCATCACTCGACAGTCCCTGGGCCAGGGGCGGTCGATGTCTCCAGACGTTTCCCCTGGTCTCCTACCAGTCGTTTGCGCTGGGGGGGCGCCTGACCACCGCACCCCAGCGAAGTGTTCGGGGGCGTGGCTTTTGTGCGGGTGTCGTTTTGCGGGTCCTCAGGCGTCGATCTTGCAAGTCTGGGCCAGGGTGCCAGAGGCGCCAGCGATAAACGATCTCTCGGTTGCCAGCGCCGCTTTCGCCTTCGGGCCACCCGTTGCGCTGAGGTCTGGTCTCGCACCAGGCCTCTTTGGGCGGGGATTTTGTACCCTGTTGACAGGTGGTGCAGCCCAGGAGGGACCAGGCCTACTGCGATCCGCTTGGGTGGGAACGTCCTTCCGGCGGGGTTCGCGCAAGGAAGATGCAGCGTGCACTGTGCGTGCGTGCCTTTGTGTGCGTGATGTGTGTGCGGCTCGATGTGGCGCAGTGTGCACTGTGCGTGCGTGCCTGTGTGTGCGTGGTGTGCGCGTGGCTCGATGCGCGTGTGTTCTTAGTTTTCCATCCACTCCATGAGATTTCACGGACTCGAAGGGGAGGTTCTGGCTTCTGCGCAAAGAAAAGCAGCTTCCCTCTGCGGTGCGTGCCGGATACTACACGGATGGATGACGCGCGCTAAGTATTACACGGATGGAGGGCATCAGAGTTTCATAGCGCTTTGGTGTCCGGATGATGGGTGCTTTTGGTATTCCCCCACATTGGGTCGAGGTTCATACCGCTTCTGCCCCGCCCCGTGAATTGGACCCTGGGCAGAAGCGTGTTTGGGGGTGCCCCTGTGTTTCGATACGAGGTATCCGCCTGTTTTGCCCTCGCCGTACTGTCTGCCCTCCTCGTTCCTCCCTCCCCTGGCTCCCTCTTGCAGCCATGTCGTGCCGGCGTGGTGCGCGTCGTCCCCTGGTGGGGTCGACGCGGGCCGCCCCCCCAAGGGGCGCACACCCTCCACGAGTGCCGGCCTCAGTTGCCTCGACACGCCCGTTTTGAAACGCAATACGTCCCGTGCTCAAGACGTCCGTGTCGATACCTTTCGTGTTGGCTCCACGTATTGGACCACGTTTTGGCGAGCGTATCGCGTCTGACCTCCGTTTTCAGCCTACGTGTTGAGCTCCGTATCAACACGACACGTGTCGCGTGCTGCGTATCGGGGCAGTTGAGGTGCCAGCACAAGAGATTTTCGATGTTCCCCACCCCCGAGTTCATCCTCGTCCTGGCTTCGTCCCACGGGGTCTGGAGCAGGGCTGGACCGAAACGATGCTCTGGCGATTCCGTGGGCCGTGATCGTTTCGATGTCGTGTGGCGGTGAAGGCGGCTTGAAGGCAGAGCGAGGGAGAACGAAACCAAAGCGAACACGGAAAACACCGGTCAGGTCCAGCCCTGGTCTGGAGGCCGACTGTGAGCGGACCTGGGCCGGGCGGGAGGGGCGCCGGTGTCTCAGCCGGCCACCCCGAGAGGAGGGGCCAGCGCAGCAGTGGGTGCTCCTGGGCGGCGGCGTGGCGCCGCAGCAGGCCAGGGTCGCCTGTCCTCGGCGAGTGGTGCTCAGGGGGAGGAAAAGCGACCGATAGACCGCTGCTCTTCCGCCTCCTCCTCCTCCTCCTCCTCCGCCTCCGCCTCCGCCTCCTCCGCATCCGCCTCCTCCTCCTCCTCCTCCTCCTCCTCCGTCTCCTCCGCCTCCTCCTCCTCCTCCTTCTGGAGAGCTCTCGGCGCCACGGCTGGATTCTCCTCGAGACTCTCCCCAGGATCCTGGCGCCTCAGGTTTTTCACAGCGGGCAATGTCGCCTTTTTCTGAGCCCCGGGACCCTCGCAGATCGATCCTGCTCGGACAGGGTTCTGGGCATGATGTTTACGATGTTGCAGTTTTTCGCCACGTCGGATCTCAGTGCTGGCCAGATTCTGGTCAGACCGCACCCCAGGACAGGTCTGGGGAGCAGCTCGGCAGCGCGATCCGAACCCGACCCTCGCCGATCAACGATTCAGGCAACTCGATGGGCGGCGGGGGTGGGGTTCGGATGTCGCCACGTGAGCGACGAAGGAAGACGGGTTCGTCTTCACCGACATTGGCGCGTAAGCTGCCCGCGTTAGGTCTCGTGTAAGAACCCTCGTCTCCAATGTAGCGTGCGTCGCTGGCGGCCCGCGAAAGCCGCCGCGTAAGGTCGCTACGGCATCTCACCTGAGACCCGCTTCCGTTCGTCTGCCGACGCAGCAGTGGTCAGAGTGAGGAGACCGAACGGTCATTCACTGTCCGAGTGTGCGTGGCTGAAGTGGGTTTCCATGGTGCGGATGGTTGTTGTTGTTGTTGCTGCTGTTGCTGTTGCTGTTTTTTGGTGTTGGTTGAGTTGTTGCTGTTGTTGTTGCTGTTGCTGTTGCTGTTGCTGTTGCTATGGTTGTTGTCGGTGGTGGTGTTATTTTTGTTGGTGGTGTTGATGATGGTGTTGGTGTTATTGTGTTTGTGTGCTGGTGTTGTTGTCTGTTGTTTGTTGTGTCTTTTGTTGTTTGCTGTCGTCGACCCAGCCCGCGACCCACCCACGACCCACCCGCGACCCACCCCGCGACCCGCCCTCGACTCGCCCACGACCCTCCCGCGACCCACCCCGCGCCCGCCCCCTCTTTTGTGTCCACAGCTGCGGGGTGCTACATACCTGTACCTTTGCTTCGGTAGGGAAAGAAACACACAGACACAATGAATCGTCGACTCGCAGGGAAGTATAGGAAACTATGGGAAGTGGGGGGGGGGAAGACGAAAACCCAGAAAATATAAGAAAATATAGGGGGAATCCTGGGATTTGTGTGTGTCCCTGGGCCCCTCCGTTCCTCTTCCCCCAGGTGTGCCTCGCTCCCGTGGTCGACCTCCTGAACCACAGCGCCAACGGGGCCTGCGCGCCGCCCCACTTCTGCCCGCAGCGGCGCGCCCTCGTGCTGGCCTCCATCGCGCGGGTGGCAACGGGCGCCGAGCTGTGCCTCTCCTACGGGGCGCTGCAGAGCTGGGAGCTGCTCATGTACTACGGCCTTCGGGGGAGCCAAAGGTATTAGTACCCATAGCGCTGCCCTCCCCTCGCTCTCCCCCTTGTCCGCGCCTCCTGGGAGGCCCTCCGTCCCCACCGCTGGATTCGCCTCGAGATCCTGGTCAGAACGCGCCCCGGGAGGGGTCTGAGGAGCAGCCGTATCGGTTGGTCTCCCCAGGCTTCTGCCCGCGCGAGAACCTACACGACCGCCTCACTCTCAGCCTCTCGCCGCCGGACGCGGGGCCCAGCGCCGCCGTGCGCGAGGTCCTGGCGAACCTGCACGGCGTCCCCTCGGAGCACGCCCTGCGCCCCGCGGCGGCCGCGGCCGAGGAGGTCGCGGCCGGCGAGGGCGAAGGGTGGGACCGGCTCGGCATTGCCCCGCCCCAGCTCCTGCGGTGCCTCCGCCTGTTCCTCGCCGAGGACCCGGAGAGGGTGGACCTGAGCGCGGCGCCGGGGGCCGCCTGCGTGCTGGAGCTGGATTGCCAGTGCCTGTCCGCCATGGAGGCGCTGCTGCAGGGGATGGCGGAGCCCTTCGGGCCGCTGCAGGCCCCGCTGCCGCTGTGGTACCCGCTGCACGGCGCCGCCGTGGAGGCCTTCCGCGCCTCGCAGCGGGCGCTGGTCGCAGCCAACGAGGGCGCGGTGGCCCGCCTGCGGGAGAGGCTCACGGCGCTTGCGCGCGGCACGGGCGGGGGCCGCGCCCCGCGTGCGGCGGGCAAGCGGGCGCGCCCCGGCGAGGGAGCCGCAGCGGCCAGGGCGAAGAGCAGGAAAAACGGGTCGCGGTCGTTCGCCCTCCTCTCCCGGCCCTCCTCATCCTCCGCCTCCTTCTCCCCCTCCTCCTCCTCCTCCTCCTCCTCCTCCTCCTCCTCCTCCTCCTCCTCCTCCTCCTAATCCTCCTCCTCCTAATCCTCCTCCTAATCCTAATCCTCCTCCTCCTCCTCCTTCTCCCCCTCCTCCTCCTGCTCCTTCTCCTCTTCCTCCTCCTTCTTCCCTGCCCGAGCTCGGCGGCCGAGAAAGGGTGCAAGGTAAGCTGTTCGGCCATCAGGGCGGCTGGCAAGCTTGCACCCCGACGTGCACTCGTCGTACTTTCCAAACGCTCTGCCGGATGCTGTACATTTCTTCGTCCGCTAACTCCCTCGAGGAGGAAAAACTACACAAACATAACATACAGTCAACCCGCATAGGAAGGATGCGCAACCTTCCCAAGGTCACCCTTGCATCCTTGCCCCTTTAGCCCATCCTTAGCGACTCTCGCTGGCCAACCTCGTTCGAAAAAACTCTCACACGGCCCTCCAAGGCCTGTGCACTCTTACCGCGCATCCTTCTGATACGGGGTGACTGTATCGGGGTCCGCACGGATCTCTTGGATCTGCGCCGGGCCTACTTGACGGCACCTCTGGCGCTGCCTCTGGCGCGCTCCGCGCGTCAGGGAGGGAGCTCCAGTGCTGATCCAAGGAATTCGCACGCAGCTCCGAAAGTTTGTATCAGTGTAGATGTGTCTTCTTCTACTTCCGTCGTCCTCCTGCTCAATTTCCAGGTCGTCCTCTCCCTGCTAGCCCTCATCCCCCCAACCAGTCCTCCTCGACTTTCCCCTTGTGATCGTCCTGCTCCTGCTCCTGATCGACGTCTTCCAGCACTTCGTCCGCATCCTCCTGTCCCTCATCAGCATCACCATCATCATCATCATCATCATCATCATCATCATCATCATCATCATCATCATCATCATCATCATCATCATCATAGTCGTCGTCATCATCGTCAGCATCAGCATCATCACCATCATCACCATCATCAACATCATCACCATCACCATCATCATCATCGTCAGCAGCAGCATCAACATCATTAGCATCACCATCATCATCAGCATCGCCACCATCATCATCAGCATCATCATCAGCTTCAGCATCATCCGCATAATTGTCATCACCACCACCATCGTCGTCATCCTCTCACCGTCCGTAGCCATTCTGGCTCAAACCTCTTCGGTAAAGCAGACTTGGCGTAGCAAGCTATCTCTAATGTGACACCTGTGCCGCTGGGTGCCCTCGTGGCGCCCAAGGAAAACAGGCGGGTTGGCAGCCCGATCATTACCACAGCTCGAAGGGGCTGTGGGAGAGACTCTTGCCTTGTGGTTGGCCAGCCACGGTAGGCGCGGGCCCGCCGTACCACCCATGAGAGGCCCGATTGAGGAGTTACCCGACGTGGGGGGCGCGGGAACCTAAGTCCATGGGCAGCGGTGTCTCCGATGCTTGAGGCCGGCGGCCAAGGGGGGGTGGTGCCGGTGGCCGTGTCTCGGGGTGACATCCCGAGGCACTTCGCAACGGCGGCGCAGATGTGACGCCAGGGGCGGGTCTGTGCCGCCGATCATGTTGCGAGGTCCGACTGCATGTGAACTCACGCAGGCACCTTGGGCACCCCCGTTCGGGTTGCGTCGCCCAGGTGTTCTGTCCAGGCGCAAAAAAAAAATCAAATGTCCACAGGGCCTGCTGCTCAGCGCTTCATGGATGTTGCCGCGCCTAATCTGCATCGCGATCCTTGGTGAATTCGTCAGGCATGTCAGCGAGCTGCCAACCACGAACTCTCTGATCAAGCTTGAACCAACAACGACAACCTGGCGCTTGGGAATCCTGGTGTTACCGCGTGCGCGTTGGCAGGAGCCCTTGGACCCGATCTCGCTCGGGATCACGGGTCCGGACTCCATCCGCGCCTGCAACGGGCACTTCTGCCCGGACAGGTTTTCGCGCCTCCGCCTCCGGCGCACCTTGCGCTCGAAGAGCTCGGACGGAGCACAAAGTCAGCAGAATAGTGACGGAGGTGCGCCAGCCAACCTTTGGGCGCAAACGCTCTAGCAGCAGAGCATGAGGAAGGCCTTCGAGCTGCAGATGCGCGCAGTGGCTTGAGGCTGCATTGTGTTTCCGCGCCGACTCACCACGCGCACCGAAGGTGGTGCGAAATTAGGTCCAGACACTACTGCAGTAATGTGCGCAAGACGTCGAAAGAAGGCCCTGTCGGTTGAGCAGGAATTCCCCAACTCTCGAGCGCACACGCATGGAGCAACGCGTGGGCGCGACGGAGGATCAAGGAGGTCTCCTCCGGCGAGCGCCGGGTACATCCAGCGGGCGGTCGTTGCCGATCAATGCGCGCCCCGATGACGGCCGTTGACCACATCGCGCTCTTCCTCCCGCTCCTGCTGCTGATCTACTCCTTCCTGGCGCATTTGTGCACAGTGAAGTCGGAGGAGGAAGAGGAGGTTGCAGGTGAGCAAGTGGATGAGCAGAGGAGGAAAAGAGAAAGTTGAGGAGGGATGGGGACGAGGAGGAACAGCAACATCAGGATCAGGAGCAGGAGGAGCAGGGCAGGCGAGGACGAAGAGACTCGGCTCCAAAATTGCTGCCCGCGCCGGCCCGCGCTGGGGCGAGAACGCGATTCTGAACGACGAGAGCAGAGCGCCGATCCCACAATGAGGCCAACGCTGCAGCCAGAACACGAGATCGAAACACCGAGAGCGTGTTGATGCAATCTGGGAACCTACAATTGATAAAATTTTGCGCGCACAAAACATTCCACAGAGGGCGGGACATTCTCGGCACGTAGTCGGAAGAGAGAGGGGAGCAGTATTCAGATTGAGCAATTGCGGGTGAGGAGGAGGAGGAGGAGGACGAGTACGAGGACGAGGACGAGGACGAGGACGACGAGGAGGATGAGGAGGAGGAGGAGGAGGAGGAGGAGGGGGAGGCGGAGGCGGAGGCGGAGGCGGAGGTGGACGAGGAGGAAAGGCGGTGGAGGAGGACCAGGAGTTTGACGAGAGGAAGAAGAGGAGGATTAGGAGAAGGAGGACGAGGAAGAGGATTAGGATTAGGAGGAGGAGGAGGAGGAGGAGGAGGAAGAGGAGGAGGGGGAGGAGGAGGAGGAGGAGGAGGAGGAGGAGGAGGAGGAGGAGGAGGAGGAGGAGGAGGAGGGGGGGGGGAAGGAGGAGGAACGGGGAAGGAAAGGGGCAGGGGGAGCACGAGGAGAAACCGCAAAGGGAGGTTGAGTAGGACAATGGGGACGGGGCAGGGAAAGCAGAAGGAGGCTTGGGGTAGCCCCTAGGACACCAACGGTTGAGAAGCCCGTCCAGTTCAAGAGCGGGGAGATTCGGGCGGGTGGAAATGGAGGGGGCCCAAAGGGGGCCTTTCAGGCCCCCTTTTTTGGAGCCAGTGGGTGCCCAAAAGGGGCCCTGAAGGGCCCCTCGGGGGCCATTTCTCTCCATCCCCCCCTTTTGGGTCGCCCCCCAGTACTCCCCCCGCCCGAGAGATGGAGGCGCGAGAGGAGAGGAGAGGAGAGACGACGACGAGGTCCGAGCGGGAGAAGGGCGCACCCGCAGGCGGAGTGGAAGCCGAGCAAAGGGGGCGTGGGCTCCCAGCACCACCGGCCCCCGCCGGCCGCGGCCGCGGCGGCGCCGGCGACGTGGCGGCTCTGGGCCTTCGGCAACGAGACGGCGCGCAGGCGCGTGGCGGAGCAGGCGGGCGCGGCCGAGCGCGCGTGGTTGCTCGCCCTTGCGATGACGGTGATATTGACGACGATGACGATGACGTCACTGGCATCATCGTCATCGTCATCATCGTCATCATCGTTATGCTCATTGTCATCATCGTCATCCCTCCTCCCCTTCCTCCTCCCCCTCCTCCCCACCCTGCCCCGAGGGGGGAGGCATGGCGCCCAGTTTCCTGGTGTCAGTGCCACACTCGCGAGGGGCACGCTGTCAGGACTGTCGGCAGAGCGTGCGGGGACGGGGGAGCCGGCCGCCGTGTCCTGCGGCTCAAGCGAGGCTCGGCGGCGAGCGAGGGGGGGGAGTGAGAAGGAGGAGGACGCCTTCTCAGAAGGCGCCAGGACTTCGCAGAAGTCTTCCGGGAAGATTTAGGAACAGGGGAACGAACAACGACATAAACATAAAACCTCGGAGGTATGCGCGGATTTCTCGGATCGTCGCTGGGGCCCCCTGGCGGCGCCTCCAGCGCCGCCCCTGGCGCGCTCCGCGCGCCAGGGAGGGGGTCCAGCGCGGATCCAAGAAATCAGCGCGGACTTCCGAGTTGTTATGCTCATGCCATTTTTCGTTCCCCTGAGAAACCTTCTCAGAAGGCCGGGGGACTGCCGAGCCCTCCGAAAAGGCCTTCTCCTTCTCGCTTGCCCCCCCCTCTCTCGCCGCCGAGAGGCGGCGCGGAACGCGGCACGGAAGCTCTTCGGGGTCTCTGGGCCCACGCTTGGCTGGGGCTCATCTCCACTGCATCCGCGAGGAGTGTCGTCTAGAGGAAAGAGAACTATGCACATGCACCGACCCTGACAACGCCCATCCTTGACCCAGGATCGGTGCATATACCTTCCTGGCCAAGGCAAGAGGGCGTATGCACCGATCCTGGGCTCAGGATGGTCCTGGCCAGAATCGGTGTATGTGCATAGTTCTCTTTCCTCTATCGTCTGCGGTCTGAGCCGTGGCCCTCTGCAGCGGCCTCGGCTGCGCCGAGACTCGTGCGTTTCCGCGGAGTGGCGGCGCCGGGTGGCTCGCAAGGCCCGCGGGGCACCGTGCCCGCTCCCGGGCGGGAGCCCTGGGGCTCGGGTTGTGCTCACCGGGTGCCTGGGTAGGCTTAAGTCGGGCCTGTCCCTCGGCGGCGTCGTCGTCGGAGCCCGCCGGCTCCGACGACGACGCCGCCGAGGTCGCCCTGGCGATGACGCCGCCGCCAGCGCTGCCCGCCTTCCCGCTCATGTCCAGCTTGACGGCCGTGAAGAGCGAGAAGAGCGAGAAGAAGAAGAAGAAGAAGAAGAAGCCGAAGAAGGATCGCAGGGGCGCGATGGAGGCGACGTCAGTGTGCACGGCTGGCGCGAGTTTAAAAAATAGTCAAAAAATAGTATGGGGACTATTTTTTGTATTTTTTGCCATTTCGGAGCATTTCTTGAGTACTTGTATTTTTCGTCGGAAATCCCCCTGTAGGGGGATACGCCCGACTTCAGGGTAGGCCCTGTTTGAATGGTGCCCGTCGGTTGATCTCCCGGCGCCAGAAGGTAGACCAGGGAGGACGACGACGAGGTAGCAGGCGGAGCGGGTGGACCAGGCCAGCGCAGCCCCCGCAGAAACGGGAGGGTTTGGGGGCGGCGGGGCCGCGGGGCCACCGGCGGTTTCGCGAGCCAGTGGCGACCAGGCCTTTGTCTAACCCGATGCGCTTGCCACGTCAGAGTTGCATGGCGCAAAGATGCAGCCCCTCACCACGGACCAGTCCCAAAGTTTATGATGTTCCAACCTACTTTAGCCTTGCCCACCAGAAAGAATCTCTAGCACCAATAAGATACCGAAACTGGAGGGTTTTCACGTGTCGGGCCCGGGGAGGCGATACTCGTTCCATATTTTTGTCGGTACTTTTCTGGGTGCTCGAAGTTATTTATGGGATTTGGTCCGTAAGTACGACTGCAGCAACATAACCCAAAGTGTTCGCGCTCTCGCTCCCCCATAGGTCCGTTGTTCGGTGGGCCCCTCGGCATCCACAGGTGGCGCGCCTGATAGACCACTGGCCCGGCCGGTGCACAGCACCGAGCGCAGAGCGCAGCACGCGTGCAGAGCATCCGCGGTCCGCCAGCCCTGGAGGGGCCTTCGAGGATCCGATGCTGGCCCCGGTGCGCCCAACGGTTATGATAGGTTCCGCCCTCAGGGAACCGACCCCAGATGAAGCCAAAGATCCCCGAGAAGAGAGCCCAGACCCCCGACGTCATGCTTCTTTCACAGCGTAAACCCCCAGAGAGGTCTCGACGCCCCCCCCCGGAAGCAGTTTCTCCTTGCTTTTTTCATGGCCCCTGGGGCCTGGTCAGGGCCTCTGGGGGCCGAAAACTGCACAAAGCAAACAAAGAAAAAGTCCCGTCGTGACTGCACTGCGAGGGGAACTACAGGAAAGAAGAAGAATCCCAAAAACTCCCCCCCTCCCCCCCCACACACACAAAACACAAAAAAACAGTGGAAACCAAAACAAGCAAAAAACAAAAAACAGGAAGAGAGAGAGAAAAACAAAAAAAAAAAAAAAAAAAAAAAAAAAATGCGAGGGATGCGACAGGGCGGCCAGGCCTCCCACCCCTGCCAGGTGCCCGACTTTGGCGCCCGGGACATCTTCGTGGCCTGAGCCCGGCGGGCGCCGGAGGCGCCCCGCCCCGGATGGCCCCCCCTCTCGGAGGACGGCGTGCGGCAGGCGGCCCGCGGCAGGGGGCGGGCTTCCGCAGGAGTCTGCGCCGCAGATCCTGGGAGCCTCTCCTCGGGGGAAGTGTAGATGTCGACTCGCAAGAGCCGACAAGATGGCATGGGAGGCTCCCACGAGTTGCCACCGAAGATGGCATGGGAGCTTCTCATCGACTCATGAAGCAATCACAACGGGAGGCTTTCCCCTACTTCCGGACTCTGGGCGCCCTTACCGGGCCTCGGGACAGTTAAAAAGCGATTCAGGATGAGAAACCGGTCCCGGGGAATGGGTCCGATTTCTGGGGTCGGCTACACGTAAGGGTGACTCTTCGCCGGAGTGACCTCTCGTGCGGGCTCACTGAGGTCCCCCGATCGCCGAACGCGGTGCAATAGTAGCGTCTTGCGCGCTTGTGTTTGGTCCCCCCGCGGCCCCCAAGAAGCCGAGTACCAAACATCACTCTTATCGGGGAAATGCAAGACTCGAGTATGCCAGAACTCGGGTTTGCCGGCGTTCTTTGGCGAGCGCGTCCTGGAGTTTGACGGAGCAGTTGTCGTGGGCTGCTTGCAGCGGGAGTTCGCGTCAAATTTCAGATCGGGTCTCGTCATTTTCATGATGGCCCCGTCACGCCAACCCGAGCCCTCAGTACCCGAGTCTTACTCGGGCCGAACGAAAGGGGGGGATAGGGAAAAGGGGGGTTACGAACTCTGCTGCATGCAGCTGGTGTCGGCCCCGCCGCCGGGCCCACTCCTCGATGCATGGGCGCCTCCCGGCGCCAGGAGGCGCCGGGAAAGTCAGCTGCGCGAGCCGATCTTCAAGCCCCCCCTTTGCTATCCCCCCCTTTCGTTCGACCCGAGCATCGGAGAGCCATAAGCATACACGTTTGCCGCTCCGCGCGGATTTCTTGGATCCTCGCTGGGCCCCCGTTGGCGGCGCCTCCGGCGCCGCCCCTGGCGCGCTCCGCGCGCCAGGGAGGGAGGCCCAGCGCAGATCCAAGAAATTCGCGCGGAGCGCCACAAGTTTCTGTTCATGGCGTTTTTCTTCTATTCCATGGTGTACCCCCTTAATTCCGTCTTCAGCGTCGACCAGCGTCGACTAGCGCCTGGGAGTCGATGAGATAGCGCCGATTTAGCGTAGATTCGCGTCGATGTTCCAGCGTCGATTTAGCGTCGCTTTAGCGTCGACTCAGTGTCGCCTCGCAAGAGCCGACAAGATGGCATGGGAGGCTCCGTCGAGTTGCCACCGAAGAGGACGGCACGCTGCAGGAGGCCCGCGGCGGGATGGCCTTCCGCGGGACGGCGAGCTGACAACTGCAGCCAGCCCGCACGGTAAGGAGGAGCAACGCCCCAAAGTTCTACGGCGGGTGGACCAAAAGTGTCCACACATGTCCCGCCGAGACCTCGAAGTGTCGAAGCACGTCGGACCAAAATGTAGGGCGGCAGGCCAGAGGCCAGGGGCAAGATGTGGGCACTGCAACTTTGGGTTTGGGGGGGAGGGGTGCGAAGCTAGGGCATTTCGCAGTTGTGGTTGTTATCATGCTGCATCGCCTTACCGCCATGGTTGTGGACACGTTTTTTTGTCTGGGCACCGTAGGCCTCCTAGATGGGGCCCGAGTAGATGGGGTCGGAGGTTCGTGCCCCATGGCCGATGCATCGACGATGCGCCTCGATGTGGAGACCCTGTTTCCCCTCGCCGACGTCGCCGATGCATCGCCGACGTTGCCGATGAATCGGTGATGCATCGACGATGCATCGGCGCGATCCTTCGACCCCATCTACTTGGACCTGGACCCCATCTGGGAGGTCTCTAAAGATTACCCTCGCATCCTTCCCTTGGGCCCATCCTTGGCCTGTTTCGCTGGCTGCGCCCCGCTCCCAAAGTGTCGAAAAGGCTTCCCAAGGCCCTTGCATCCTTATCGTGCGTCCTTATTGTACGGGTTGACTGCAGCGCCCGTACCCGTGCGACCTCGAGATTTCCTTGGGTGGAATTCCAGGGGGGTGATGGGCCCAGACCCCTTCGACTCATGAAGCAATCACAACGGGAGGCTTTCTCCTACTTTCGGACTCTGGGCGCCCTTACCGGGCCTCGGGACAGTAGAAAAGCGATCCAGGATGAAAAACCGGTCCCGGGGAATGGGTCCGACTTCTGGGGTCGACTACACGTAAGAGTGACTCTTCGCCGGAGTGACCTCTCGTGCGGGCTCATTGGGGTCCCCCGATCGCCGAACGCGGTGCAATAGTAGCGTCTTGCGCGCTTGTGTTTGGTCCCCCCGCGGCAGGGTGGACTTCCGCAGGATTCGACCGCAAATCCTGGGAGCCTCTTATCAGGGAAATGTTAGACTCGAGTAAACCAGAACTCGGGTTTGCCGGCGTTCTTTGGCGAGCGCGTCCTGTGGAGTTTGACGGTCCAGTTGTCGTGGGCTGCTTGCAGCGGGAGGTCGCGTCAAATTTCAGATCGGGTCTCGTCAATTTCATGACGGCCCTGGCACGCCAACCCGAGTCCTCAGTACCCGAGTCTTACTCGGGCCCAACGAAAGGGGGGGATAGGGAAAAGGGGGGATACGAACTCTGCTGCATGCAGCTGGTTTCGGCCCCACCGCCGGGCCCACTCCTCGATTCGTGGGCGCCTCCCGGCGCCAGGAGACGCCAGGAAGATCAGTTGCGCGAGCTGACTCCCTACCCTGCCCTTTGCAACCCCCCTTTCGTTCCCCCGGAGTCTTACGTCTGCCCGATCTTGCCCAGGGTCTCTCCTGCGCGCAGCCGTCGGGGGCCGCCTCCCGGCGGCGGGGGGCGCTGGGAAGATCAGTTGCGTGAGCTGATTCTCTACCCTGCCCTTTGCTATATCCCCCCCTGTCGTTCCCCCCGAGCGTCCTCCGTCTCCCCGAGCTTGCCCGGGGCCTCTCCCGGCGCGCAGCCGACGAAGGCCGCGCCTCTGAAAGCCGCACGGCGCCGGGGGGCGGCCGCCGCCGCGGGGGAGCGAGGGGAAAAAGGTGGCCGCGCTCTCGCGCCCGCACTCCTCCTCCTCCTCCTCCTCCTCCTCCTCCTCCTCCTCCTCCTCCTCCTCCTCCTCCTCCTCCTCCTCCCTCCTCCTCCTCCTCCTCCTCCCACTTTTTCGACGCGTGGGCCCCCCGAAGCCTGGACCACTTTCCCAGGCCCGGTTCTGTGCTCTGAGCCGTCTCCTGACGCTCCCGGGGCCCGGCGAGGGCCCCCAGAGGCCGAAAGCAGCCCCAAAGCCGCAGCTCCGATTTTTCGGCGGCGAGCGAGGGGGGGGAGTGAGAAGGGGAAGGCCTTCTCGGAAGGCGGCGGGACTTCTCGGAAGCCCTCGCGCCTCCCTGGGGAGTTGTTTCTGCGTCCCTGGGGAAGGCTCAGAAAAGTGTTCAGAAGGTTGGAGGACTCTCGAGCCCTCTGAGAGGGTCTTGCCCTCTGAGAGGGTCTTCTCCTTCTCACATCCCCCCCTCGCTCGCCGCCGAACATCGGTCGTGCAAAGTAAGTAGTTTCGGATTTCCAGACTCCAATCTACTCTAAGCGCCTTCCTACGTCAATGATCGAGTGGCTCCGCCTTTGCCGTCCTATTTCAGGGGGCGGGCGGACACCCAATCTGCCTTCAGCGCCTTCCTACTTCATGTTTCTACCTACTTTTTCCGACCGATGGGTCTCCTCTCCCGCTCCACTCGCCCCCTGTTTTTCCCCTCTTCGCTTGCCCCGAACCTCCGCCCCCGCCTCGCGAAAGGGGTCAACCCCCGCCGAGCACCGTGCAGTCCGCATGCCCACCTGCCAGGCCCTGTCGCAAAGAGAGACTGGTCCGCTTCCCTCGGGCACCGCAGAGTGCGGCAGTGAAGACGAGTCTGGGCGCGTGGACCACATCACATTGGCTGTCAGTGGCCACACAGCCCTGCCCTTTTCGGGTGTCCAGAACAGTGGGATGACCAGGCGCACTACTGTCACTGTGGCCCGCTCTGGAAGCTGGTGCCCCCTCCTGGTCCAGATCCGCTCCTGGCCGAATCCTTGTCTGTGCGCCTGGGATTTGTGCCTGCGAAGCTGTGCGATGACGGCATCGGTCGTCCGGTGCTCCTTTTCCACACATGATTACAGGCGCGACCTCCGCAAGCGTGGTCGCGGCGGAGTCGGAGACGGAGCGGCGGACCGTACAGCTCTGAAGTCCGCTCACTCCCCCTCGCCACGCCCAGGGCCAGGTTCGTTCACTTCAGCCGCCGTGCCCCCCGCGTAACTGCATCGTCTGCCCCTGGGCGGGCTCTCGGCGCCACGCGGCCTTCCTCATCCCCCTCCTCCTCCCCCTCATCCTCCTCGGACACGTCGTCTCCTCCTCCTCCTCCTCCTCCAGCTACTCGGATACGTCGTCTCCTCCTCATCCTCCTCCTCATCATCAGCAGCAGCATCATCAGCATCAGCAGCAGCAGCATCATTATCAGCAGCATCAGCATCAGCATCAGCATCAGCATCAGCATCATCATCAGCATCATCATCATCATCAGCATCATCATCATCATCAGCATCAGCATCAGCATCAGCATCAGCATCGTCATCATTATGATCATCATCATCATCAGCAGCAGCAGCAGCATCATCATCCTCATCATCCTCATCATCCTCATCATCCTCTTCATCCTCTTCATCCTGCTCCTCCTCCCCATCCTCTTCTTCCAGTTCCTCCTCTTTCCCCCATTCCCCTCCCGCGGCGAGGCCCCTGCTGATTGGAGGACGGGCGCCGAGGAACGCCTGGCGGCCCTCGAGGAGGAATGCAGGCCCCCGCCGGGCCGCGCCCCCTTCGGAGCAGCGGAGGCGATGGCCAAGTGGCAGCGCTTGGGGGAGGGGGGGGGAGCCCTCCTCCGCACGTCGCAGACAGCCCCCCCAGGTAGCCCCAGCTGGCCTCCACAGGCCCCCCGAGCATTCCCAAGCTGGCCCCAACAGGCTCCCGAGAAGTCCAGGGCGGTCTCGACATTCCGGCGCCGCCTCCGGCGGCTCCCTTGGGGCGCCCCGCGCCCTGGTGTTGAGGTGCCGAGAGCGCTCTGGACTGCGTGGGGGCCTGTCGAGAGCCAAGGGGGGCTCCTCGGGGGGGGCTGTTGAGGCCGGCTGGGACTACCCGGGGGGTTGGTTGTGCGCAGCCCGCAGCCTTGCCACTCACACTACTTCTCGTCCTCCTCGTATTTTGCGTCCTCATCATTCCCCTCCTCGTTCTCCTCCCGAAGAAGAAGAACGAGAAGAAGAAAATGAACACGCAGAAGACGAATCGGCGTAAGCCTGAATTTCCGGAGGTCCGCGCGGTTTTTTTGCATCGGCGCTGGGCGGCGGCGACGGGGCGGCGGCGGCGGCAACACAGTCGCCAGGCCGGCTGACAGGCCAAGACGACGGGCGGCGACGAGGCGGCGACGGGGCAGCGACGGCGGCATCATAGCCGCCAGACTGGCAGAGAGGCCCAGTTCCTTGGAAAATAAGTAGAACCCCCTAGTGCAAACACTTCTGGGGAACACTGAGCAACCCTTCCCGAATAGGAAAAATCGAGCTAGCAGAACGAACCCCTTAAACGAACTCCACCTGGAGGGCTGTGGCCGCAGCAGGGTTCCCTTCGGGGGCCGGGGCAGGGTTCCCTTCGAGAGCGGCAGGAATAGGAGAAGGAGGAGGACGAGGAGGAGGAAGAGGGGGAAGAAGAGGGGGACTAGCGTAAACCCAAGACGCATCAACGATGCTGCAATAAACCCTCCCTCCAGGTTCTCTCTCCATAGGTCCCTGCGAGGAGATGCTTCAATGCAGGAAGTGCCCAATTAACACTGAACCCTTTGAGAATCTTCAATCGTGCCAAAGCACAGTTCCTGTGACCTATGACATCAACGCCGCGCATCAACGTAGTCGCTGCATCCTGACAAGCCTGAATCGCGCCAGACTAAGATTCCTGCGACTTCAACATCGCAAATCAACGTGACCGCTGCGTCTCGACAGCCCTAAATCGTCCCAGAACACCACTCCTGGAATTTCAACCACCTGTGTTACCTTTTAAACATGTTGCAAACTTTTCAGACGAATGCGCGCGGCGCGAAGGCGAGAGCTACATTTGAAAAGGAAATGCCCGCCATCCTTGAAGGTGCTGCAAACTTGCAAAATGAGCGCCCGCGATTTTAAGAAAAAAGCCACATTTCGACATTGGCCCGCCCCCCATGCTTGAAACGGTTACATGTTTGAAAAGCGAATGTGCGCAGCGCCAAGGCGAGAGCCACATTTTGAAAACGGGCGGCCCTCCATATGTTGCAAATTTTGGAGACGAATGCGCGCGACGCTAAGGCGAGAGCCACATTATGAACATGACCCCACCCCCCATCCCTGAACTGAATTCGGATTTCAAGTTTGAGGATCATAAGTGGTGAGGAAGTCTCAGGCGAATCGACCAGCCCGCCCTACCGACGCGCCCGGGGGTGCAACAGGGAGGAGTTTCTTGTAAGGAAAAATGGAGGACCCTGAGGTCCGAGGTTGCGAAAACACGCAACATCGCGACATAACACGTCCGGAGCCGTAGACCCATCTTGTTACCCCATCGTTTTCCCCCCTTCTTCGAGCCGGATCGACGTGTGAGGGCCTCGGGGCCCGAGCCCAGGCGAAAACGCCGAGCCTGGACCGGCCGCTGGGGGCCGCCGGGGGCCGCCGAGGGCCGCCCGAGGGCCGCCGAGGGCCGCCGTACGGCCGCCGACGGCACGGCCGCCGCGGGCCGCAGACGGCCACCGGCAGCCGCCGACGGCACGGCCGCCGGTGGCCGAGGGCCCTCCGCGCCGCCTCGCTGCGGCGCGCGCGCGCGGGCGCCGCGCGCAGGCTGCTCCGCGGCTGGCTCGGGCAGCAGGCGGGCGCCCGCGCGCGAGCGGCCGAAGGGCGGCGCCCCGGGGGTTGCGGGGGGAGGGGGGGGCCTCGGCGCGCGGGCAGAGGCGCCCGCTGCCGCTCCTTCGGGGGGTGCCAAGGGGTGCCCCGGGCCCGAGGTGCCCCTGGCTCGTCGCTCCATGCTGGAGCCCTGGGGCCCCCTGGGCCTCGCGGGGGGCCCCCTGGGCCTCGCGGGGGGTGGTCTGGGGGCCGTGGGGGCCTCCCTGGGAATCCTGGGGGGCACCTTGGGCCTGGGGGGGGTGTGGGTGCCTCGGCACGTCTCTTCGTCGTCGTCGTCGATTATTTTTCTCTTGTCACAGGGCTCCTCTCGGCTGGTTGAACACAAAAGCGGGGACGTCGGCACGCGCGGCCAGGGGCGCCTCCTGCCTCTCCTCGTCATCACCGAACTTCGCTGAGGAAACGAGGGAGCCGCGAGGCGAAGGCGGCGGACGGGCGGCGTCTGGGGGGGTTCGGCACGCGCGGCCAGGGGCGCCTGCTGCGTCTCCCCCAGATACTCGGGCCGGACGAACGGGGGGGATTGGGAAAGGGGGGGGTACGAAATTTGCTGCATGCAGCTGGTTTCGGTCTCACCGAGGGGCCCATTCCTCGATACAACGCCGCCTCCGGCGCCGGGAGGCGCCGAGAAAATCAGCTACGCGAGCTGATTCTCAAACCCCCCCTTTGCTATCCCCCCCTTTCGCCCGACCCGAGATACGAGCGTCGCGTTTGTTCGCGACGGGCGTGTTCGCCAGGCTGTGGGCGTGATGTGTCGCGAACTTGCAATTGTCTCGCCGAGTGGCGAGCCGTACTCGTGAGGCGAGGCGGCCTTGAACGGATGATGTGTTATCATGGCTGGTTCCTTGAGCAAGGCGATCCGATGAGGCTTCTGCTATTGGTGAAAGCTCCAGCCTGGCAACAAAGCATAGCTGAGGTGAACCCGTGAGTTTCAAATTCCAAACGAGCGGTATCGGCGTCCGTCCGGCCGTCCGTTGCAATTGTTTCGCAACGTCCGTTGTTTCACTCCGCCGAAGAAACGAGGAAGCCACGAGGTAAAGAGGGACAGCGCGGCATCCCCATAGCGCGTTGGGTGTCACCGCTCAGGGGCACCCTTGCGCCTGGGTGACA